ATTCTTATCTCTTCTAGCTACTCTCTGGAATTCTGCATTCAATTGGGTGTATCTTTCTCTTTCTCCTTTGCCTTTCGCTTCCCTTCTTTCCTCAGCTATTTGCAAAGCTTCCTCAGACAGCCATTTTGCTTTCTTGCATTTCTTTTTCTTTGGGATGGTTTTAGTTGCTACCTCTTGTACAATGTTGCGAACTTCCATCCATAGTTCTTCAGGCACTCTGTCTATCAGATCCAGTTCCTTAAATCTATTTGTCACCTCTACTGTATATTCATTAGGAATATGATTTAGTTCATACCTGAGTGGCCTAGTGCTTTTCCCTACTTTTTTCAATTTAAGCCTAAATTTTGCAACAAGAAGCTCATGATCATGACAGCATTAGTAGGAAATACATTTATCTGATTCCTAAGAAGCCTCTACAAATTTGTCCAGTATCAACCTGATATGCAAAAATCAGCAAATTAATTGGTTGTGAAGATTACCAGATCTACAGATTAAGACACCTGGGCAGAAACTGGGAGACCCTGAATTCTAGTCCCACTTTAGACATGAAACCAACTGGATGACCTGGGCCAGCCACTCTCTCTCAGCCTTAGGAAGCAAGTGGCTGCAGAGCAGTTCTGAAAATCTTGCCAGGAAAACAGTGGGAGCTGGGTCCAGACAGTCACCAGGAGTCACTACTGAAAGGTTTGTACACACATACATACAGGCTGTTTGGAACATGGAAGCACTGACTGAAAAGTCAGTCTTAGCATGTGCATGTGCAAACACACACATACAGACACATTTACTATAATAGAGGAAGAAGTCAAAATGAAGAAAAAAATATTACTGGAGCTTTAAAATACATCAAGTTATTTGTATCACAAGCTATTTATTTACAGTTTATTGAACACAAAAATGTTGAAGGCCTGACTATTAACACTGGTATGTTGTGTTTCTGCCTCTATGCAGGCACATCCATTGGTGTAATGGAGTGAAACTGGAAACAAAATTTTAAATAGCTCCACATGATCATGAAATACAGTAGTCTTTTTTTGATTTAGGTACCCAAACAGCTAGCCAGTAAGGCATACAAGCTGCTACTGCTATCAATATCACTGCCATTCTGATGTAAATGTAATTAAAGCTACAGAAATGTTGGGCTCAAACTGAAAATGATTTTGAGACTTCAACTCTTACATCAGAGTGGTAGCCTGTGGTCTCCAGATCTTGCTCAGAGCTCTAATTCCCAGCAGCTTTAACCAACATGACCCAAAATGGCACACTAGTATAAGTACATCATCATACAAACCCAACACACTACTACTTCCAGGATAAGAAGCATAATGCAATGTAGAGAAAAGTAGGAATAGGATGAATCAATTAAAGCCTTAAGATTGAAAGTGAAAAGTAACACTTATTTATACCCGGAAAATTCACTATACTTCTCTGTGCCTTTCTATACTTCCCCCATGCCTACACACTGCTTTTTTAATTAAAAAAAAAACTCCATTAGGTGATGAAAATTTGGAAAATTCAGGTTGCTGAGGTCAGGGATGCGGGAAGCCAACATTTTTTTCAACCACAATGCTAAAAAAGATGCTGGGACCAAATTCATGATTAAATTTCATGTTTAAAAATGGTGGTTATTTTTTAAAATATCGACCAAATATCGACTCTAGCTACAAAAATTCAGAAAATTTGTGTTGCTAAGGTCATGGACATGGGAAGGGCAGGAGGCCAAAGAATTTTTCAACCAAAATGCTAAAACAGATCCGTGTCATGTTTCAGGGTTGAATTTCATACTAAAAAAATGGTGTTGGCTGCTTTTTAAAAAATGGACCAGATATCAACTCCAACTACGAAAATTTGGAAAATTTATGTTGCCAAGGTCAGGGATGCGGTAGGCTGGGAGACCAAAATTTTTTTCATCCAGATTGCTAAAATGGATGCTGGGACCAGATTTCTGGTTAAGTGTCATGCTTTAAAATGTTTGTTGCTTCTTTAAAATATTGGTCCATATATTGTCTCCAGCAACAAAAAATCATAAAATTTGTGTTGACAGGGTGAGGGATGTGGGAGGTCAGGAGACCAAAAATTTTTTCAACCGAAATGCTAAAACAGATCTCGTGTCAACTTTCTGGGTTAAATTTCATGCTTAGAAATGGTGTTGGTTGCTTATTTTTTTTAAAAAAAGGAAGCAAATATCGACTCCAGCTATGAAAATTCAGAAAATTCATTGCCAAGATCAGGGAGGCTGAATTTTTTTTCAGTCGAAATGCTTACTTTCACAGGGCATTTTCTTGCAACCATCATCCAAAAACTGACATACAGATAGTCCACAACTTGCAACAGTTCACTGAAAAAAGTGACACAATCATTTTTCACACTTACGATCATTGCAGCATCCTCATGGTCACCTGATAAAAATTCAGATGCTTGGTAACTGACTCATATTTGTGACAATTGCAGTGACCCAGGGTCATGTGATCCACTTTTGTGACTTTCTGACAAGTAAAGTCAATGGGGAAGCCACATTTACTTAACAATGTTACTGACTTAACTGTAATGATTCACTTAACAACTGTGGCCAGAAAGGTGGTTAAATGGGACAAAACTCACTTAACAAGTATCTCACTCAGTAACATAAATTTTTGGCTCAATTATCATCGTAGATCGAGGACTACCTGTTCTTCATATTCACCACAGCTAACTTTTAATTTGGATTGCAGAGATTGCTTCGCACAGGGGTCTTTGAGTCCCAATGACTGTATTATTTGAAACTGGAGTTTTTCTTATTTATATTCATCTCTATTTTGCCCACACAGATATGATATATTGTAACTCCTACACATCCCCTAGATAACGTAACTTTTGTAGAGTCATTATATGCATGTACATTTTAACAGATTTTTAAAATTAATATCAAATTGTTTCCATATGGTTAAGAAAAAAACAAAATGAAAACTTTGTAACTACATAAATGCATTGATACTGTATAATAATGCTGTGTACACATATATAATATACTGTTATGTAATTGACTAAAATAAATGAGAACTGCCACTACAAAAATAATGCAGGACACTATAAAACTTTCCCATTGGTTCCCTTAATCATCACAGTCTGGTTTAGAAGCATCACTGCTTCAGACAGGAAGGCGGTGCAGAGAGTGGTGAGGATGGCTGAAAAGATCATTGGCAGTTTCCTCCCTTCCATCCAGGACATAGCACAGAAGCGTTGCTTGAGCAGGGCCCACAAGGTTGTCTAGGACACTACACATCCTCTTCACGACCTGTTTCCCTTGCTACCTTCTGGGAGGAGGCTCCGTGGTATCCAAAGCAGAACATCAGATTCAGTCACAGCTTTGTTTCATACACTATTAACCTTCTGAAATCTAAAGCTTCCTCCTTCCATTATGTATTCAAGATGGACAGTGATTAATATTTATATGTTACTTATATGTAAGGGTGTAGGTCTATACATATGTGATATATAGTATGTTTTAAATGTGTGTTATGTAAGCGTACACTTTGAGAGGAAGCAACTAAATTTCATTTTTAATGTGTGCCATTGTGCCCACAGGAAAAAAATGACAATAAATGTTATCTGTCTGTCTGTCTATTTAGCCTTTTTTAAAAAAAGAAATGCTAAAAATACAGCTAAAATGCTGTATATCTATGGAAATGTGCTAGAGGAGGAAAAAATGTCAATTTCTCAATGTTTCCCCCTAAAGCAGTGGTTCTCAACCTTTTTAATGCCGCAACCGCCAACCGGTCGTAAGTCAAGGACTACTCAACCAGTCATAAGTCGAGGACTACACAACTGGTGCAGCACCGTTTGCAGAATGGGATTTTGGCGAGCTCAGCAGGGCAGAGACAGCCTGGACAATTCCTATTGGCTTTTGAAAGCCAATAGAATTAGACTCTATTCAAGAGAGTCTATTCTATTGGCTTTCAAAAGCCAATAGAATAAAAGGGAGTAGCACAGCTAAGGAAAAGGGGGGGAAAATGGTGGACTGCGTTGTTTGGCAACCCCCGTGAAATGGTCGTTCGACCCCAAATGGGGTCCCGACCCACAGGTTGAGAACCACTGCCCTAAAGTTTTGACTCTATACAATAGTTATCTTAAACACATTTGCATTTGTGGAGGATCTATTTTCTACTTGGAGACCTTTTCCAACCAATCCTTCTTCCATCCTTGTCAAGCAGAAAAAAATCAGATTAGTTTCACAAGACTTTTCTGCTTTTAGGAGTATCTGCCTACCAACTTTCCTGCCACACATGAAAGCAATCTTAAGAGCTGGGTGACTTCCATCAAATGTTAGGTTAAACCAGAGTCAACTAGTTTGTGGCTCACTCTGTTTCAGGTCGCATCTCTACCCCAAACTAGATTAAAGCCATTATTTAACCAGAACTCTGTATGCCGCAGTTTAAAACTAAATCTTGTGACGATGAATTGCACAGCTCTCCCAAAAGGCACCCATTTTGAGCTTTTGGAAATTGTTAACGCTAGTTAAGTTAACCCTAGATGCCTAGAGGTTGGATATGCTGGTAGCTATTTTTCATTTCAAGGTGACAGTATATGCAAACCTAGAACAGAAAATTGTAGGTTACCATATCTTCTGAGGACAAGAGCCATCTTAAATTAAAACAAATAATCCAATTGATCTGATCTAAAGCAAATATTTTAAAAAAACAACACCACGGAGTCTTCAAGCAAAATATAGGGCATTTAATTATTTTCATGGAACGTAATAACATTAATAAATCCGAAGCGCAAACATGCACCAAATTTGGCCACTTCTAGTTAAGGAGGAAAGGAGGTGTAAATTTTAAAGAAACCCAAGAAACTCCGTTAAATACCCCTATCCTCGTAATGCAGCTGCCCTAATTCACCACTTTTACTTCTCGAAGCCTAAGAGGTGGGCGGGGACCGTTTTTTTTTTCAACCGAGTGCCGGAGGGATTTTGTTTTTTTACATAACACGAGGCGTTCCGAAAGACGGAAGCCAACATTTGCGCCCCGGATTGATTAACATTTGAAAGTTTGGCTGCAGGGTGTGTTTGCTTACAATTCACTTTGCTCTCTTAAGGGTATTAAAACTATGGAACGGGAGTTGGCTTTTCTTCTCTTCTTCGCTCCCGCCCGCGCGTTCATTTTCCAGTTCCCAGTCTGGCAAGGATGTTTTTTCTAGATAAAAAACAGGAATTTCCGAGAGAGCGAAAGAGAGAAATTCACCACGATTTGGACTTCATTTCCTAGGAATTTTACACAATATGACTAGCGGATGGCTGGGTATTCTGGGTAATTTGGTAATTCATTGGGAGAAGTTTTATATCAGAATATATTTTAATCTTTCTATTGTTTTCCTCTTCCCTTAAAACATTAGCAGACTCCACAATGGACTGGGAATCAGCATCTCGACTAGACAATTGACAGTCAAGCTGAAATTAAGTTAATCAAGTAAAAATAGCAAACGGGGGAAAGTCTTTTAATCAAACACCAATTTATCTGGAAGGCAGAGGAGGAAAAAGGCCAACTAAACTCTACAATACATGTGAGGGTCCCGTTGCAGAATTTTTCAAGCAGTGGTGAGGTTGAGCTTGGCTACTGAAGGGAAGAAGCTGAAGACAAGTCTGTTTTATTGCTTCATAGCAGGCCTTGCCTAGTGCTGAGCTTAAGGCAAAAACAGTTCCTAGGCTTGCCCTGCTCTGTCTTTTAAAGTTCCTTCTCAATCCTTGTTTATAGCAGGATGCATCGCTTTGGCCCACTGCTTATGAATCACTTGGACCAACTCCTGGAGCTTGCCAATTTCAGCAGCAGAGTTGAAGAAGGTGAGTTGGCTCCAGCTCACTGTCCTTTCATCTCTGCACCCATTTCCTTCCTACCTCACCTCTGAACCTGTTAGCTTTAATGACCAATTTAATTTAAGCACTATTTGAGGCCCCAAGCCATAAAACAACTTTATGACCTGTGGCCTTCAACTCCCGGAATTCTTGAGCCAGCCATGTTGGTTCAGGAATTCTGGGAATTGAGGTCCACAGGTTGTAAAGTTGTCATAGTTGCCCACCCCAATGACCTAAAGTAATTGTCTGCCTCTTTCTGTGTCCCTGCTTTCTTAAGGCCAGGTAAAAGTCTGGGTACATCCTTCTGTTCTACAAGAATGTTGTTTGTCAGTACTCCTTTGTGCAACACAGTGCTGTCTATGAAAGCAGTCTTCCTCAACCTTAGACCTTACAACTATGTTAGGATGAAACTTGTGTGCTAACTAGGAATTGTGAGTTCACATAGTCTTTTATGTAGTCTGAACCGAAGAGAAGACATAAAGGATAAACTTTGTCCTAAATAATTCTCTTACTTCTCATAGCTTTGCCCAGTCTGTGGAAGATTGGAATGACAAAACAATATTTTCATGCCCCTAATAATTTGCTGAATTATGAGTACCAGCTTTCTGCTCACTGAATGATCAGAAATTTCAAATTTGGATTGAAATAACTCTGAAGCTGTCCACCCCGCATTTTTAAGTATCAGTATATCTATAGATACTTCCTGTGGTATTTTCAAGCTCTTCACTCAAGAACACTTTAACGTTTTATTCTCCTAGCTTTCTTGTTTAAAAGGGGATGGGTGTGGGGAGTGGATATGTTGAAGCACAGAAAGCCAGTCTCTAACTTAATCTTTATTGAATACAGCAGTGTTTCCCAAACTTGACAATTTTAAGGCATGTGGACTTCAACTTCCAGAATTCCACAGCCAGCGTTGCTGGCTGTGGAATTCTGGGAGTTGAAGTCCTCATGGGAAACACTGGAATACAGGAATGCTTTGGGCCTCATAGGCTACATGCATTCTTGGAAAATAATGATAGATGACTACAAACATAATTCAGAGGGCTGGTGAAGATGGCAAGAAGCAAGCTCATAATTTGATAAATGTGTATTTTGTGATTGGTTGAACATTGTCCATTAGAGCTATGTTCCTCTACTTTGTATGGGCTCCAGCAATTTGCCCTTTGGCCTGGAAAGGATAACGGTACCTATATCAATATAAATAATACATTTAGATATTTATATTTAGGCTCTTGCCACTGAGTAATTCTTCATTCCTTGGATTCATGTTACAGTGTGTTTGTGCTGAATTGCATTTGTCTGATAACATTCCATTCCTTTAATCTGATCCGGTTACTTTTTATTGGAATGTGTATGTATGCATGTTGTTTCTATAGCACTGTTAACTTTTGAACCTGCATTAAAAACTGATGTTCTGCGGCTGTCTTTCAAACAGAAACAAACTTCAGATTAGCTTTGTTGAGGTTGTACCGTTGGAAGGTACAGCTTTGCAATGGCAGGGTCTCAGCTGTATCTACAATAAGCAAGTGGGAGTCAGGGAAAAGACTAGCTTTGATTTCTGTTAAACTTGTAAATATAATTAATATGATTACTCCTCAGTTGTTTTAGAATTTTTTCCCTTCATATACTAACAAGTTTAACTGAGTGGCAAGTTTTAAAGATGCCCAGAAGACAATGACTTGAAATGCTACCTGCAGAGTCTCTGCTATTGCTTCTCCAGCTCCCTTTAGGTCAGTGTTTCTCAACCTTGACAATTTTAAGGCATGTGGACTTCAACTCCCAGAATTCCACAGCCAGCATTGCTGGCTGTGGAATTCTGGGAGTTAAGTCCACATGCCTTAAAATTGTCAAGGTTGAGAAACACTGCTTTAGGTCCATCTGAAGCACCAGCTTGGTTAGGTATCTAACTCCACACCTTAGGGCTCCATGCTAACCCCAATGCATGTGGGGGTGTGCAAGAAGTGCTGCATGGGTTGGGCATAGTCCAGGCAGGATGTGCAACATAGTTCTCCTGAAGTAGCAGCTCTGAAACAGGCACAACTTCCTCAACTTTCATTGCCTCAGGGGTCATGGGTTCTGTATTTTGTACACATTCTGTACCTGGGTTCAAAAATTGTTGCCTGTGAAGTGCTGTTTTGCCCAATGAGATATTATAGAAACTACAGTTTTAATAGTATATAAATGAGCCAACTTGATTCTCAAGGGAATCTTACAAGCAGAACTGAAGAGCAAGTAAAGTTTTCCACTATTCTCCCTCATCAATTAGTCTTCAGGTGCTTTCCATTTCTGTCTGATGGCCATTCCCCTACTATTGGATTTATCCCATCTAACTGGCTGCCAAGTCTACAGTATATATAATTTTTGCTACTTTTCATATTTGTGTTGATCTTATTTAATGGTTTTGCTGTTTTCAAGCAATCTTTAGAACAATATCTGGCTCACAAGCAAAACAATATATATAAAGTGAGAGTATCAGAAAAGATCGTGAGCACCATTTTCTGTTTAAGTCACGGGTGTCAAACTCGCCACTTCACAACATATCGCAACTTTTTTCACATTGCTGGAGCTGGGGTTGGTGCGACCTCCGCATTATGCAACCAGCCCATAGGCTGGCAGTTTGACACCCCTGGTTTAAGTCAACTCCCATCATGTAAGGCAGTGTTTCCCAAACTTGACAATTTTAAGGCATGTGGACTTCAACTCCCAGAATTCCACAGCCAGCGTTGCTGGCTGTGGAATTCTGAGAGTTGAAGTCCTCATGCCTTAAAATTATCAAGTTTGGGAAACACTGATGTAAGGTCATGTTCTAGAGGACGAATAAGTGACCTGAAGCTCTCCAGAGGTTGCAACTCTCACTAAAGTCAGGCAGCGTAATAAAAAGTAATGGATTGCAGGTGCTATAAATTCAAAACACCTGAATAGCATCGTATTCTAACAATTGCAAAATGCTGTAAAGATAGCAAGAAATGTTTTAAGGTGCATGAGAAAGAAGAGGGAATCCAGTACAGTTCCCTCTGAAGGTCCTGAGATTTCAAGAGAATAGCTGTATTGGCGTGGGCCCTTGTTAATTTGGCTCTTTCACAACTTGGGATGGATTCTGTAGAACAATTAAGCATTGGTACAAAGACAAGAATACAACCTCTTGAACAATCTCTTATTAAATATTTCTGTCCTTACCGTGGCAGCTGTCAGAACTGGGGCAATTCAATTGGCCCATTAATCAGTGAGCTAAGAGGATGCTGTTCTAATGGAACTTTGATCATATTATCTTTAGAATCCTGTTAGTGGAGCTTGACAGAAAATGGTGTGGAACTGTGTTAATTCAAGCATTCTGTGTTATTTTGGGTATAGTATCAGTGCTTCCTGCAAGCAGGTTAGCCAGAATCCAGAAAACTCTCTGATTATGTAAGAATGGAGAGAAAATTACACTTCCTGTACCCCTTTTTTAATACATAGGGGAACCCATTCTCTTGGTTCATTTTGATATTTTTCATCTTAACTCATGTTATTCTTGGGTAGATATAAGATACATATGTACTTGCAAAGTTCATTTACACATAGGTAATTCTAAGCCCTTGCCATCAAGATCCCGATACTGAACCCATGCATCTGTTCAGAATATCTTCAGATTGCTGAGTGTCTTGAGGAGATGCGCCAGCGATGCTGCCAGCTGGATTGTGATCTGAGGAAGACAAGGCAGCAGTTACGCCAATCAGAATCTGAGTGTTCTGTGCTGCAGGTGAAATTGAAACATGCCCGGAACCAAGTAGAGGTAGAAATGAAGAAAAGACGTTGGGCAGAAGCTGAGCTGGAAAAGCAGGTTTGTGGATTTTATTCTCTTATCAGAAACAGCATTCCCAGAATGAAAAAACCACCGTGAGTGGACGAGATAGGAAAATAAATAGTATCTCTTCTGTCAAGTAATAGGTTTTAGGGAAAATAGCCCCTTAATCTGAAAACAAGAGTGGACCACCTCTGGCCTTCCAGCTATAACTGGATTTGAATTCTTAATAGTACCAGAAAACGTGGCAATAGAACCATATTTAAGAGTATGAGGCTAATGGCTACTATAGTAGTGTCAGTGTTAACATTTCTACCATATCTCATTCAGTGCACCTATTGCATTTTTATACTTCTCAAAAATGTTTTTGTCTAGGACAGGAGTGGGGAAGGATGGCCCTTTTATCCCTTGTAGATTTCAACTCCCAGAGCCAGCCATGCTGGGTCAGGAATTCTGGGAGTTGGAAGTCCACAAGTCATAAAGGGGCCATCATTCCCCACCTCTGGTCTAGAGCAACAGGTGTCAAGCTATGAAGACTCCTTGCATTAGAACTGCCATGATGCTTCTAGCTTGCCTACAGGTATTGGGGGAGGGGAAAAGATTTTGGAATTCACAGGTGGTTTCTACTGAGGTCACTGAAGAAATGTTTTGGCGAACAGAGTCTGTTTTCCCATAACAACCTTTCAAAGACTAATTGGACAATGTGACCTGAACTGTCAGAGAGGGGAGGGGAGGTTTTACTCTTTTAATTATCTTTTTCCCGCCATATTGCCAGAGCTGGAATTCCTTTTACTGTGCCGGCATGCTATACCTAATAAAGTTTTATGTTAGAGATTGCAATATCTCTGGTGGATTTACTTCATTGGGCTTTTCAGCCAGAACCATGACACAGAGCTGCTCCCATAGGATGACATTTGGAAGGCTCCCCCATTCTCCCTCAGATGTCCTCCATGTTAAATTCCCTAGGTTCATTTTCCCTTTGGTGTGCCATACACTGCCACCACATACCTTTTAGGCAGAACCCCTCCTCAACATCTTCTCTGCTAATCCCTAGTACACACATTGGAGCGAACTCCCATACTCTGTATTTTCTAAATTGACAAAAACTTTTCTACCTGGAGAGGGAGGGATTGAGAAGGATGGTGGCATTTCTATTTTATTATTATTATTATTTTACTACCTGCTGAATTAAGCATTTCTTCTCAGGGCAGAAATGTACATTTCCTGAGAAACAGCTGTCAATCTGGTGAATGCTAGGCAGCTTTGCAGCAATGAACAGCATCCAAGATAAAAATCCCTGGCAGGATAGTTCGAAATGGGGTTGGGGTGCTCTGATAGATTCAAATAGCCTGTTGTTACAGAGCAGAAGTAGGAATGTGCAATGTTTGCCCCTCTTGTGTCCTTTTGAGAAAAAGTTCTCTCAAACATGATTTGCTTGTCTTGTCATAGGGTAAAATAAATTTCTACCTGCTCTCCAAGTGGTCTACGTTTACCCTGTGTTTGGGTGGCTTTACAAAGGGCTTTGGAATTGGGCTGGTCCTCAGTTCTTCCCAAATGGCTCATGTTCCAGATTCCTCCTTGAGAGCTGGTTCAAAAACAACTATGTAGTAGGGAATCCCAAGAGAAATCTCAGATTCAGATACTTCCCTTTGTAGAAGAGAATCAACATGCCCTGGGATACTATCCCCATTAAACTTGAATCCTAGTTTAATCTAATTTATTCTGATAGCTCTAAATAAATTGTTAATGTAAAGTTAATGAAATCCTGAAAGTTCATGCAAGGTGAGAATAGATAATTAATTTTCTATCAGTGCAAGTCCTGAGAGAACACCCAGGTTCAACCCTTGTTTCAGTTGCCAGAGGCTCTCTTGAGCATAATTTTATTCTTTTCACTCAGAGGATTTCTTTGTTCTCTTTTCTCCTAGGAATGCAAATTGCAGCTTATCTATAAATTCCTCATGGAGGACCCACAGATCAGTCCCCGCACTGAAGATCAACATGCAGACCTGGCCATTGTTGAGAAGCTGTGTTTCAACCACAGTAGCCCACTGCCTAGAAAACAGTGAGTGTTAGAAGACCAAGCTTCAATTAAAAGGCTTTGATGTGGCATTCTTGTGCATGCAGTCTTACACAAGAATTATGATCCCCAGACCTTCCCATAAGCAATGAAAAATCTGCCCTGGAAAGGTGATATAGTTTGTCTCCATAAGAAATATTGTACATTAAAATACTTGAACTAAATTTTGAAGCGTTCCAGTTTGGGATGACTCTCGCACACCTGGCGTTCTGGATGGGGAAATAAAGCAATGTTTATTTGTCCATCCTCTCCTGGGATTTCTCCAGTTGCAAGCAACATAAAGAAAATTGTTGTAATCTGCCCAATGGATGATTGGAACTTTCCACTAGATCAGAGACCTGATGGACCGTTGAAGAACCTCATTCCCTTCTGCCGATCAGGCAGCACTTTTCCTTGAGAGTTTTCCAAGTCAAGAATTCCCTTCAAAAGCACCAGACATGGGAACTACGGGGAGATGGGAATACCATCGGGCATTAGATCTTCCTCTCTGAGATTGGTGCTCCATCTCCAACCCTATAGAGAGGAATCAAAGTAATTCAGTGCTGCCTGGAATGCTGCACAGCCACAGAGAATCGCATTCCAAGTATACTATAATTTTTTTTAAGTATTAAAATTAATTGTAATGGCTTATCTCCATACTCTCTGGCACAACTGTGTAAAATAAGTACCAGTGACAAAGGAGGAAAATTCAGAGATCAAGAGGGAATAAATTGGCACATGGACCTTATACAGCAGGGGTCTCCAACCTTGGCAACTTTAAGACTTGTGGATTTCAACTCCCAGAATTCCTCAGCCAGCAAAGCTGTTACATAGCATTTGATTAAATTTATAATCAGTTGTCATGTTTTAGCTTAATAGGTTTTTAAAATATTTCCCTGGTTTTTCCATGATAGAGGAGAAGCAAGTAGAAATGTACAGCTAGTGCTGCCCACTTCTTGTTAGAAATGTTTGCTTGGATGCATGCACATAACTGAGCAAGACTTTAAAAAAACACCATTTTATTATCTTGGGTCTTCTCAGTATCCTCACTGGAAAAGCCAGGGTCCACGTTTTTTCCTGGATTTCTTCTAAGTATCATGAGGAAGAAGGTCTGATTTAAGCATAGATTCTCAGATCATTGATATTGTTCTTTTTAAAAAAGTATAAATGCTTCTGTATTCCTGTTTATCACCCCCAGAATCCTAGAAAGAAAGAAGCTGAGTAGCCATTTGTCAGGAATGTTGTAGTAAAAGATCCCTGCCCTGATTTGGGGGGGGGGGGGGTGTAGCACTATTCATTGCATTTTATCATCCTATAATTATCATTTGAGCTGTGCTTAAGTGGGATTGGGAAAACAAATGAAACCTAGATAGATATTTATTTTGCATCCATTCTGATGTACTTTCCCAGGGGGATGTGTGCAGTAGAAGAACCTGATACCTCAATTCTATCTGACATCAATTTTGACCATTCAGACAAGGAAGTTGTAAGTTTCATTCCTTTCTTTCAAGCTCAACATGGGAGAAGTGAAAGGGCTTAGACCCGGGGTAGGCAACCTTGGCTCTTTTATGACTCGTGGACTTCAACTCCCAGAATTTCTGAGCCAGCATGGCTCAGCTTGGAAACCTCTCCCTTTCCCCTCAGCATGGCTAGCTCAGGAATTCTGGGAGTTGAAGTCCACGAGTCATAAAAGAGCCAAGGTTGTCTACCCCTGGCTTAGAGCAAACTTGCCAAGCTTTTCAGAGTTGGAGAAATATGTTAGAAGCAGGTCTCCTGAGAAATTATTATTCTGTCCAAATGCTCATTGACAAGGTAGCACATAAGGATTCCTTCCAGTAGGATATCAGAGCCTACACATGGATCACAAAGAAAATAGCACAAGGACATTTTAATGCAGCTAATGCAGCCCACTGTATTGCACACAGTGAGTGTCATAATAAAAAAGAAATATGCATATGTGATGTGTGAAGGGAAGAAGACTAGTAACACAAAATTAAAGGACTGATTCTGCCACAAAAACATTCATCGGGAGTTGTTCATAGATTTTTCATGGATTAAACAGGGAGCAAAGTTTCTTATTGCATTCCATGAGCAAACGCATCCAGCTGGATCCAGCCACTAACTGCCTGTATGGCCACAATTTTTATTATGTGTTGCATTTCATTTCTTTCTGACCTCTGGTTTCACTGTTCTACTCCCAACCATCTCAATCATTGCCTCTAGTGTGGAGAGATTTTTTTTCTTCTCAAGATAGCACTAGTGCATTTGATAAGGTAGATGGTTATCTGCAGTCATTTGTAATCATTGTTGTTATATCAAGTCCCAGCAACTCTGAGTGGTTCAAGTCTTCGATGCCACAAAACTTTGGTGTTGGGGGAAAGCAAATTAACAAGGCTGAAGGCTTTTGTGTGGCTCTGCTTTTTACTGATTTTATTACCGGGAGTGAATACCATTTTGCTGCTCCATGCTATACTTATAGATGTTCCTGGACATACCCATTTATGGGCCCTGCTATTCCATTTTAGCAGATAGAGATTTGACATAATCAAGGTCTGGGTTGAAATTGACAAGAGTCTGCCAGATTTTCTTCCAGCTTGAAGGAGAGGTTGCAGGTGCAATAGAACAGGGGTCCCCAACCCCGGTCCGTGGTCCAGTACTGGTCCGTGGCATACCAGCAACCGGTCCACACAAACAAGCAAAGCCCCATCCGCAGGATGCAGACAGTACGCAAAACCACACCCCCTCTGGTCTGCGGAAAAACCTTTCTCCACTGCACCGGTCCCTGATGCCCAGAAGGTTGGGGACCTCTGCAATAGAAGGCCCTGGTGTGAAATACGAGGGCAATTTGGAAATAAACCTCCATTTGATTATCAATGACAGACACTCGCAGATACAGAACTACAACTTTACATTACTTTTTGACATAATCACCATTCAAATTGAGGCACTTGTCATAATGTCTTACAAAGTTTGAAATTCCTTCTGCAAAAAAATCTGGGAATAAAGCCATCCTGTAACAGGATCATGAAGTGCATTGTTATCATTGAAGCGGTGCAACGCAAGCCATTGTTTCATGTACCTGAAGAGGTAGCAGTCGCTCAGCACCAAATCTGGTAGAGGTGTGTGTGTGTGTGTGTGTGTGTGTGTGTGATCAAAAACATCCCAACTGAACTGCTTCAAAGTTTCTTGGGTGCATCTAGCAGTGTGCAAGCGAGCATTATCGTGAACCAACACCATACTGGAAGTCAGCATGCCCCGACACTTGTTATAGATGGCTCATCTGAGTTTTCACAATGTTTCACAGTGGACTTCTAAATTGGTGGTCGTACCACGTTCCATGAACTTCACTAGCAGTAGTCCTTTGGCATCCCAAAATACTGTTCCCATAACCTTTGTGGCAGACAATGTTTGCCGAGATTTTTTGGGTTTCTTTGATGAGTGCATATGACACCACACCATTGATTGCTGTTTGTTTTCAGGGTTCATATATGACACCCAGGTCTTATTGCTGGTCACAATTCTGTTATGGAATTGTTCTCCTTCCTCGGCATAATGTGTGAGAAAGTCCAAAGCAGAACCCATTCGGTGTACTTGTGCTTCTCAAAAAGGAGTTTTGGTACCCAATGAGCACAGAACTTGTGGTATCCCAAATTTTCTGTCACTACCTTGTAAAAAACGCTCTGAGAAATTTGGGGAAAGTGTAAAGAAAGATATCATGAACCGACAGACTTTGTGGACCTTTTTGTCAATTTCTTGCACGAGTTCATTGCTGACTACAGATGGGCGGCCACTTCTTGTCTCATTGTGCACATCAGTTCATCCATCTTTAAACATGTGACACCATCGATGTACGACACCTTCATTCATCATGTTTGGTCCATAAACATTACACAGTTCGTGATGAATTGCAGCTGCCAAACGTTTTTCCACACACAGGAATCATATTATTGCACGCACTTCACATTTGATGGGATTTTCTATGGCAGGGTTCATTTTCAATTGATCTAGTGGACAAGTCAACTGCAACACAACCTTCTCCTTCCACTCCTCACTGCCTACTGAATTACTGTGCATGGCGCTATAGGATGGGTGTCACTATCACCGCCTATTTCTTGCACATGCTCAAATGGAGGTTTATTTCCGAATTGCCCTTGCAGAAGAAAGTATACTCATGCTCCCGATAAACTCCCCATTGTCTCTGTGATCTGCCACTTGGTTCGATTTCTGAGACCTACTTTAAAGACTGATAAATCTGTCTCCAACAAGAGTCCATTTGATTGATGGACTCAAATAGTGGGGCAGAAGATTGGCATGGTTATCAGGTTCTCTGTGCCTGCAAGCTCCCTCCCAGTTCATTCCACACCCCACCTCTATCCATTGACTAATCTGCTAGGCTAAATTTTTTCGAGTGGAGTTTATCTGCCTTCCAGAAAATCTTATTCAGGAATAGTTCAAGTGCAGGCTGCTGGCACAGAGCATCTCCGAACCAGGAACTTCTCACTTAGGCACCAAAGCCTCCCTGTTAAGCACCTGCCCATGTTTGCCCAAGCTTATCTCACTATATATTAAGGAGAGTGATGAGTGGTGATTTCTGCTACTGATTGGTGATGCTATTTGGGGCAGAAAACAAAGCCAGAGGAATATATACCAATCACTAACAATACATTGTGTTGCATTGTAACACAACTGTAAAGCACTGAATTGCTTAAAAGTCTGGTTCCTAAAGTAGTTTAGAGATTATCCATTACAGAAGTGCAGATTATACTGATGCAATTCAGGAATTGCAGGAATTCCCATTAATAATGAGGAAGATCTTTTAGTCTACATGTAAGGGAAGGAACCTGATCTGGGAAGTTTGCTATAGTGCTTGATACTAATCATGATTCTAATCTCCAAAATCCATTGCACTGCCAATTCTGACTCAGATCTGTATCCAAATAAGTGAAATATGGTGATATGATGATCCAAATCTTTCTCTCTTCGAATGTCAAACAACCTGGCATGTATCTATTGAAAAAAATAAGGGAAAAGACCAGGGATGGGGAAAAAGGAAGGTTGGTGGAAGATTTTTTCTTATGAGCCAGTGATGTCGGGAATGGGAAAACAGTTTTACTTTCAAACTGATTTACTTGAATCCCATGCTTGCAATTTCCAGTATACTTCATTGTAAAGTATGGGTTACGTCTAACAACATAATTTTAATGTAAGCTGCCAAACTGAAATGAAATAAATATTGCTATATTATTCAAAACAGTTACTATTCCAGACAGTAACAATTAAAGCAATTATTTATTGAGGCTTCCAGAATGTGTGTGATGTGTGCTAAATTAAGCCCATCTATGTATGTTAGCCGTTGGAAGCAATTTGTGCCAGTGAATGTACTAGGGAATTGATCTATGTCTGGAGGTGGTAGGTAGCTAGAGTCTTCTTCTGCTTCCAAAATGCTGCATATATGGTGTAAAACAAAATCTGAAGGGGGAGGAAGCCTGCAAACTGAAATTTAGAAATGATTGTTATTATAAACAACTTGTGAATAACATATTTCCATGTCCTCCCTCAAGCTTCTTTTTATTGTTGTTATTCATTTGTCTTCAAGGATGTAGGGATGATCAGATCTGTCAAAAGCAAAAACAGAGTGGTAAGTGAAGATGCCATGGCAGAACATTTATTTGTTTGTTTGTCTTGTCTCCTGCAACAGAATCTTGTACATGTGTGTAACCACAATGTTTTTTTTAACTTCAAATGACTAAATTAGTTGACTTCAGCAAGGCATTCGATAAAGTAGAACACAACCTACTTCTTGGAAAGCTAGAAAAAAAGTGGGATAGATAGCATCACCATCAGATGGATTTGTAACTGGCTGACAAACTGTACTCAACAAGTAGTCCTTAATGCTACTACAGCTACATGGAGGGAAGTAAGCAGTGGGGTACCACAAGATTCTGTCTTAGCCCAGTACTTGTCAATATCTTCATAAATGACTTAGATGAGGAAATAGAAGGGGAACCTATCAAATTTGCAGATATTAAGCTGGAAGGAATAACCAATGCCCTAGATGATAGGTTCAAGATCCAGATGGATCTTGACAGACTTGAACACTGAGCCCTATCAAACACTGAGCCCTATCAAGGTAGAACAAAGTAAAGTCTTACACTTAGGTAAGAAAAACCAAAACTAAAGATATAGATTGGGTGAAACCCGGCTTAATAGCAGTAACTGTGAGAGGGATCTTGGAGTCTTAGTGGACAATCAATTAAATATGAGCCAACAGTGTGCAGCAGCAGCCAAAAAAGCCAGTGCAATCCTAAATTGCACTAACAGGGATTCAATCAAGATCACGTGAGCTACTAATGCCACTCTATAAATCCTTAGTAAGACCACATCTAGAATGCTACAAGCAGTTTTGGTCTCTACACTATAAAAAAGATGTTGAGACTCTAGAAAAAGTGCAGAGAAGAGCAACAAAGATGATTAGGGGACTGGAGGCTAAAACATGAAAGACGGTTACAGGAATAGCGCATGGCTAGTCTAGAGAAGAGAAGACCAGGGATGACATGATAGCAGTGTTCCAATATTTGAGGGGCTGTCACAGAGAGGAGGGGGTCAGCCTATTTTCCAAAGCACCTGAAGGTCAGACAAGGAATAACAGATGGAAACTGATCAAGGAGAGATTCAACCTAGAAATGAGAAATTTTCTGACAGTGAGAACAATCAACCAATGGAACAGTTTGCCTTCAGATATTGTGGGAGCTTCATCACTGGAAACTTTCAAGGAGAGACTGGACTGCCATCTGTCAGAAATGGTGTAGGGCAGCGGTTCTCAACCTATGGGTCGCGACCCCATTTGGGGTCGAACGACCATTTCACGGGGGTCGCCAAACAAGGCTGTCTGCCATTTTTTTCCCCTTTAGCTGTGCTACTCCCTCTTATTCTATTGGCTTTTGAAAGCCAATAGAATAGGCTCTATTCAAGAGACTCTATTCTATTGGTGTTCGAAAGCCAATAGAATCTATTGGCTTTTGAAAGCCAATAGAATAGACTCTCTTGAATAGAGTCTAATTCTATTGGCTTTCAAAAGCCAATAGGAATTGTCCAGGCTGTCTCTGCCCTGCCGAGCCCGCCAAAAGCCCCGGTCTGCAAACAGTGCTGCAAGGCGAACTTTCTGGAAAGCTTCCCTCCTTGCTGAGTAACTACTAAAAGTAAGTAAAAGAGGGCCAGGGATGGGAGGTGGGAGGCCGGCGGGCACAGGGAGGGTTGCTGGTGCACGTGGGGCCTGGCGGGTGCCTTACCTCCCTTGGGCTGGGCCAGCTGGTGGCCCAGCCGGTGGTCGGCCTGCGCCCTCGCTGCCACATGCCATGGCTGCCCAGGAGCGCCTGGGCCTGCCTGCCATCGCACTGAATGTGCGGTGGCCAAGGTAAGGCTAGCGGGGCAGCGGTGGGCACAGGGAGGGTTACTGGTGTGCGTAAGGCCCGGCGGATGGCTTGCCTCCCTTGGGCTGGGCCAGCTGGTGGCCCAGCTGGTGGTCAGCCTGCGCCATTGCGGCCGCTTGCCAGCTATGCCTCGGCCGGCGCAAGGGGCAGCACCACGCATGCGCGGCGCTCCCAGGCCGAGGCGGTTGCTGGGCGGCGGCCCGCGTGCAGCTGCAGGAGAGGAGGCGGAGCGTGCATGCCTCCTCCTGCCCCGCCTGCAGGGAAATACAGGTAGTCCTCGACTTATGACCAAAGTTTGACATCTACACCGATTTTTTTACCTAACAATGTTTTGTGGGATAGAAGAAACAAATTGTTTATACTTCCCTGTAATAAGCTCACGTGGTTCTTGTGCTTACAGGTTTTGTTTTTTCCTTCCAGCGTTTCTCCTTGGCTCCCCTGGTTCGGCCAGCAGTAGCAGCCAAGCACTCACAGTCTTCTAGAACATTTACTAACAGCGTACGTATCTGTCAATGATGCATGAATGAGAAGGTATTCAAGATGCAAACTGCTAATTCTTGCCATTACCAACTTAAACCTGCTATTTCATTGAATAGCTGTGCAAAGAAATTAGATAATGTGATGTTGCAAAGCAGGAATTTAAATATGACATCAAATAAGGTAAGAAAGGCTCAAGTGAAAATGATAGCCCACTTAACTCCTGATTGGTAAGATCACTAGCCTATAGATCCCATCTTTCAGCATCAAGCTTGGTGATTGGTTGATTCTTAGCAGCCCATCTGGGGTCTTCTGCAGTGTTCCTCTGGCAATCATGTGGTCTATCCTGATAAGAGCTTTGTGCATCCAAGAGCTGTTTCTGGTTCTTATCAACCTGGTTCCTCTCCTCTACTCCACCCACTCAATTTAGACACATATATCTTAGCGTGGACCCTATTTCTTTATTTGGTCCCTGACCAAATAATACAGTACATGTTGTACTGTACATACAGTACATGTTGTAACAACCTCGCCTTCTTTATTTGGATAAGTTGAGCTGTGCCATCATCATCTGAAGTAATATGTAAATATGTTGTGCAACTATGGCCTGCAAGTCTATACATCTCACTGATTAAATTAAACCCAGTCCTATATTTCTGTCCATATGAAATCTGATATGTATATAAGGATCTGCATTCCAGTTTGAAGAGATTATTTTTTGTTCCTTATTTCACATATCTTCCTTCTTTTCTTTTCTCTGTTCCAATTATTTCTAGATGAAGGAATTACCTCTGATGACCTTGAAGTCTAGAGCCATTGGTGGCAGACGAAGCCTTGCTCACAGTTTATCACCCAACGCTATAGCACCCAATTGTCAATCCCAGCTAAATAGTTCAATTTCCACGCACTCAGGTGTCCATTCCCCTTCCTTGGGGTGGGGGATTGTGGTAACCCATATTGAAATTGAATAGATTAGTGAAAGGGCATTGTCAGAATGTTTAATAATTATGCAAGAAAGTTCCTTCCTTCCTCTCATCTGTATTTGAGGGGAGTTTCCAAGTTACTGTAGCAATGAATGAGGTAATGGCAGCCTATGAAAGGGCCGCCTTATAATCCCTTATTGTTTAGATGTAATTCAGGGCAGTTGCATTCATGGGAGAGGCCCTTTGTACTCTCTGCTTTCCTTCTACTGTTTCCCCACCTTTTAAGGAAGAAAGTGAGGCTGAGCTAGAGGCAAAGAAATGGGAATCCAAACTCGAAATCATACCTATGATTGGATTCAGTCATTCAGTATGTCACTCAGTCACAAGATTATTTGCTTGTCAGTGAAAAAGTGTGTTGTGTGAACCCTGACCTTATGAGTTGTAAACCCAAGGTTGTAGTTTAGTGCAGCGTGTAAGCCCTGCTTACGAGTCAGTCTCCAGTAACAATTTCAAGTGTAAAGTTTTTGTTCTCTTAAGAATTTTGCAACTTCAGTGACCGTATATAGGAGGAAAGGGCTTGTGGTTTGGGTCTCCTTCCTGGACACCCTCACTGATGGGATCCTGGGCTTCATATGTGTGTTGAGATCTTGCCAAATATTCAATCTACCCTCTCACTCCTCTGCTGCTTGGCAGATTAATCATCCTTGTGTTCCCTGACTTAGTGCTCAAGGGGAAGGTTGGGGAACTATCTCCAGCTTAACCAGAGTTTGTCCATATTGAGCAATTCCACTGAGCTCTTAGCTGGAGACTCTTGAACCCAAAGCCGCCTCCCCCTCCCTCGCAGGTGAAATATGCAATGCGAGGTAGGAATATAGGCTAATTCATGGTTCAGTCAGGTATGTGGAGAAAAGTTGAGTAGAATAGATGGCTGTGTCCCTGCCTTTATATATATATACACCTCATGCTGAATGTGGATCTTTTTCTTTACAGAGCTCACTTCTGTCTGGAATAGCACTGATGAATCTGGTGGACAAAATAGCCATGTTGGATGCAAGGCCATTGGATCTACCTCAGGGGGAACCATTGGTGCCTTCACTCATTCATCAGGAATGCTACCACTCCAGCAACACCAATTTGCTTCCAAAATGGTTATCACTTTTTTTTAAGAATAAAAAGTAAACTACTTATTGCAATGCAGAATTAGAGTTTCTGACATGAATTTACAGTTACTTGAAGGTTAATGTTTGAACTAAGCAAATCAGTATTTAGTGACGGGGATGTGGTTAGAAAAATTGCTATGACGCCCCTGGCTGTGTTGAATTAAACCTTTTCCCCCTTTAGCTTCTCATAGAACCCCCACCCAGTCTGAAAAACCTGGACTAGATTATTACAACCATTCCAGGTTGTCTCTATACTAGCAGTTCTGAGAGGAAAATGTCTACTCACTTCCAGAACTGTACAGCTAAGGTAATGTTAGCTTGGCTTTAAGACCTGTGTGCTTTGTTACTTCAGGGGTAACTTAAGGATTGCTCACAAGTAAGATTCACTTAGGCTTTCCTTTGACAGCTTTCTCCAAAGTGTAGAGAACACAAAAGATTCTGAGATTTCGAAGAAAGGGAGAATTGGGCTGAAGAGCGAGGTTACAGTTTAGATATGTCTATTTTAGAAATAGCCAGAGGGCCAATGTCATCTTTTTTTTGCTGTGCTGAGTTCATCTTCTTCCTTCTCTTCCTTGTCCTTTGTCCAAGGTGATTCGTCTGCACTGGTGTGTCATTTGCAAATCCCGGCTTTGCTTCGGGAGGATGGCACTTAAATGTTGCTCATGTCAACTTCTAATACATCCAGAGTGCAAGGAACATTGTCCCTCACAGTGTGTGCCAGGTGCCCACTCCAGAGTGAAAGAGGTGAGGAAACTCATAAAATGGTAGTCATCCTCAAGTCATATTTAATTTCTAGTGATTATATGATCTCTGCAGCTGAACTCTGCAGCTATCTTGGCAATAATGTGGAAGCCCTTTACCAGGGATGATATCTTTTTTCCACAATCTGCTTAATTTTTCCTAGAACTTCCTGGTGATCTTCAATGCCATGATTGTTTAGTGTTCTTTGAGATCAGCCAAGGTCAGCTAAGTGCTGACACCTGATGGCACAACTCCAGCATATCTTTAATTTGTTTTTATTTCCCCCACCCCTCCATTTGGAGGGGAGGCATTGCCTGTGTCAGGGGTAGGCAACCTTGGCTCTTTTATGACTCATAGACTTCAACTCCCAGAGTTCCTAAGTCAGCTGACTCAGGAATTCTGGGAGTTGAAGTCCACGAGTCATAAAAGAGTCAAGGTTGCCTACCCCTGGCTTAGGTAAAAACATTTTTGGGAATTGAGATGACTTGAGTCTGATGGGAAGAGATCTGAAGTCTATCCCATGCTTGTAACCTCTTTCCTAGGGTATACTAGCTGATTTTGCGCCTTCCAAGCCGCCTCGGGTGCCCCCCATTGTGGTTCGGTGTGTGGCTCAAATAGAGAAACGTGGCCTGCGAGAGGTAAGTGGGATCCGGAGGAAAGGTGGGCAAAAGTCAGCTATGAAATGTTGATGGAACTTCAGTTTATCATTGTCTGCTTTGCTCTGCAGATAAACTTAATTCCCACTCCCTGATGATTTTTTAATCTTTATTGAATTCTCTGCTGTAGCTATTTGAATATGCAGTTAGGGTATCTGAACATAGAGTTAGGTTAGCCCTTTGGATTTAATAGGTATATGGGATTCAACTTTTTAGAAGTGTTCTCAAATTGTATGCTTTTAATGTAGTAGGGAGTGGAAATTATTAAATATGTTTACGGAGAAGAATCATGTTAACTGTACCTAAGATGTAATGGAACATATGGGTGACCTTGGAGAATGAGGAGGGGAAATGCTGTCTAGGAAACAGGAGGCAAGAGGTTGCAGTCGCTTTAAGGATCAGAGAAAGAAACTTAGGAAGGACCCACCCTATGGGATCAAGCAGTTCAAAGTGGAGGCAAGAAATTTGTGCCTTCAGACTTGTAGTGCTAAAGTTAATGTAGCCTTACCATAAAATAGAATTAGTTCATCTAGTTGTGTTTGCTGTCTGGTTTACCTGGGAGGGGCGGGCAGAGAGAAAGTTAATTAAAACAGATAGATATTCAGTCCAGAAGAAGTGATTGTCTATTCTGCTTGAGAGAACACGTGTTCTATCAGCCCTCCTTTGTTAGACCTTCTCCATTGCTTCTGCCCTCTGATGACTACCTAAACAGTCTTTCAATGGATATTTTGTTGTTTATAAAATGTGGTCTCTACATCAAATTCTCTAAACACTGAGAAGTTTCCCCCCTCCCCCCCCCCTCTCTCTCTCTCTCTCTCTCTCTCTCTCTCTCTCTCTCTCTTATATATATATATTATATATATATATATATATATATATGTAGGTCTTTGGTTGTTCGGGTTTCTCCCGCGTAAAATTGGAAGTGTCTTGGCGACGTTTCGACGAAGTCCCATTCGTCATCTTCAGGCTGGTGTTTTCAGCTTCGTGCTTCGAGCAGCAATGTGTGGTCTTAGCTGTTTCTTCCTTTTAACTGCCAGTGGGGGTATGAACTGATTGGGTGGGAGCTTGGCTGTGTTCTGATTGGGTGGAGGTGTGTTCTGAATGGTTAGGGGCTTGGCTGTGCTCTGATTGGCTGGGGGAGTGTTCTGTTTGGTTGGGAAGGAACCCCACTCAGACCTATAGTCAGCTCCATAGGCTCACCTCTACAAAACCTAGCCAAATTTCTCGCCAAACAACTACAGCCCTATGCAGAATCCATCACCTCACACGTAAAAAACTCATTCCAGTTTATAGAGATCATAAAGAAACAAAACTTACAGCCCAGCGACCTACTAGTGAGCTTCGATGTCATATCCCTCTTCACCAAGTGCCTATCAAAGAAGCCTTGACAGCTATCCAAAACAAATATAACCCCCCCAAACACATCTTAGATCTGACCAACCACTGCCTATCCAACACATACTTCATCTATAATGGACAAAAATACAAACAAACAGAAGGAGCACCCATGGGATCACCCCTCTCACCTGTCATTGCCAACCTCTACATGGAACACTTTGAAACCCAAGCTCTAGAAAAATCGGATCACAAACCCAAACTCTGGCTCAGATACGTAGACGACACCTTCATAATCTGGCCACATGGGAAAGAAAAACTGGACAACTTCCTCACACACCTCAACAGCCTACACCCCAAAATACAGTTCACCATGGAAACAGAAGCTAACAACCAACTTCCCTTCCTGGATGTCTTAGTCTACAAGAAATCCAATGGCTCCCTAGGACACACCATCTACCAGAAGAAAACACACACAAACCGCTATCTGCACGCTCTCTCACACCACCACCCAGCACAGATCAACTCTGTAGCCAAGACACTCATCTCCAGAACAAAACGCTTAGCTGACGAAACAACACTAAAACCCGAACTACACACTCTCACCAATGTACTAACATCCAATGGATTCCATAGAAATAAGATTACAAACCTAATCCAAAAAGAAACCCCCACTAAAATCCAAGACAAAGAACAAGAAAACGGCAAAGCCCTCCTCCCATACATAAAAGGCACCACAGACAGAATCAGTAAGATCCTCCATAAACACAACATCAAAACAGCATTCTGCACAAACAGAAAAATATCCACCATCCTTAGAAACCCCAAAGATAAAATTGAATTAGAAAATCAAGGAGTATACGAAATCCCATGCACCACTTGTCCCACCACATACATCGGACAAACCAACAGAAGAATAAGTGCACGCATTGAAGAACATAAGAACTCAGTCAAAAAAGAGGAACCAACATCTTCCCTGGTCCAACACCTTAAAGCCACAGGACATGAAATTGACTTTAAAAATACCAGAACCATTGCCAAAAGTGAACATTTTAATAACAGAATAATCAGAGAAGCCATCGAGATAGAAAAACGCCCACACAGCATGAACAAGCGAGATGATACCTCCCGCCTACCAGCCATTTGGAAACCCGCCCTTATTGACAACGACTCCCTAACACAAAAAATGATACCAGACCCACACTCACAAAAACCACACAGGATGTCACCACCACACATCCACGCAAAAAACAAACCCAAAGCCACACCGATGATGAGGCACGACCACAAACCAGAAGCCAGACCACAGCTGCATCATTAGCCACTTTAAACCCCTCCAATCCATACATGAAGCAAACTGACACCCTCCATGAAGAGGAGGCACGACCACGAACGCGAAGCCAAAAAATAGCAAGGCAGCCCAAAATCTTAAACCCCTCTGCAACTCAGACTAACCTGAGCACAACCAAACAGAACACTCCCCCAGCCAATCAGAGCACAGCCAAGCCCCTAACCATTCAGAACACACCTCCACCCAATCAGAACACAGCCAAGCTCCCACCCAATCAGTTCATACCCCCACTGGCAGTTAAAAGGAAGAAACAGCTAAGACCACACATTGCTGCTCGAAGCACGAAGCTGAAAACACCAGCCTGAAGATGACGAATGGGACTTCGTCGAAACGTCGCCAAGACACTTCCAATTTTACGCGGGAGAAAACCCGAACAACCAAAGACCTACAGTATATATATATATATATATATATATATATATATATATATATATATATATGTATGTATGTATGTATGTATGTAGCTCTTTCAGTTTCTCATCTTTTTCCCTTTCATGTTTCAGTGCTGTTGATCGTGCTCTGTTTTTTAATCCACCCCTGGTGCATGATCTCTGGAAAAGACACAATCCCATGAAAGAGTTGCAAACAGGTGTTACATTTTTCTCCTTGTGCTCTGGAGTACGTTGAGGGATCAAATCCAGCTCCTCGCCGCCCTAGAATTTAATGAATCTGTTTCTCTTCAGCAGCTGCTGTTTATTTTTGTCCTGTATTTGCTAGGAACCTCTTTAGAACCTTCATAACTTCCTCTCTCCTTTAATTAGACACCTTCCCTCTGATTTTTGACTGGTGCCCAAGCTCAACTCCAGTGGATGTTCCACATCCTTGTAATTATTTCCCTGGCCTTTTGCTCACCTCTAGGCTGGACTGTACAGAGTGCCAGGGGCAGAATCCCTTGTGCGGGAATGGAAATACAAACTGCTCTCCTCCCAAGAGGCTCTTCCTTCCCTCGACCTTGTGGCTGATGTGCATGTGATCTGTGGCATCCTCAAGGATTTCCTGAGGAATCTGAAAGAGCCTTTAGTTACCTTTTGCCTGCACTCTGCCTTCCTGCAGGCAGCAGGTGAGTTGGGATGGGATTCTCAGATCAAGCTCTGGAGTGGAAGGGACCAAGGGGAACGTGGGTGATGTAGGATATGACCAGGCTGAGCCCAAGAGTGGGGGATCAAATGCATCATCAGTTTGGAGTCTCTATGCCCCTGGAAGAGACCTAAGTCCCAGCCTCCCCCCCCCTTAAAGTCTGTTGACTTTTATCTGGTGCCAATTCCCCTTAAGCATTAGAAGACCAGATTCTTTTGTAGAGGTAGCATGAAATAAACTTGTCTATCCTGATTTCTGATTCCTTGTACCTGACATTGCTCGATTCTTGGAAATCTTTTAGTTTCTTCCTGGATCACTGTACAATTAAGGTAGTTATGCCTTAAGTCAGTGGTGGCGAACCTATGGCACGCATGCCAGAGGCGGCACTCAGAGCCCTCTCTGTGGGCACACGTGCCATGCCCCGGAGATGGCATGCCCCTCTTCAACCAGCCGCCTGCTAACTCACTGAGGTCCCACGTGGCCGGATGCATCCCGACACAGCTGGTTTCCCTCCCCCCCGTACCATCCCTCCTGGCCTCTCATGCTCTCCTTTTCCCGGGCATGACCCACTGCATCGCCTCCTCAGCTGTCGGCCAGCCATCCAGCTCAGAGGCAGTTTCTTTGAACTGCTGGCGGTGGGCTGTGGAGCCCCAGAGTGCGCCAGTCGAGGTGCTGGCAGGCTGTGGCTGCTGATGGACACCATTGGCCCCCATGCGCTCACTGGCATCTGTGGGGGGGGGGGACTGACGGTATCAGGCAGAAGCTGCCCTAGCCCTTACATTGCCCCATGCAATGGCATCCCCACCCTGCCTCACCTCACCCCGCAGGACAAGCCTCCCGCCTACTGCCCCACCTGCCAGAGACCCCATGGATCTCCCCCAAACCTGCCCACCCCCACAGGTGTCCCTCTGCACGAGCAACATTGAGGTGACCACGCCCACCTTGGCCATACCCACCCAATCTGCCATGTCCACTACAGCTATGCCCACCCAATGGCCTATGCCCACCTGGCACCCAGCAATAAATAAGTGGGTTTTGGGTTGCAGTTTGGGCACTCAGTCTCTAAAAGGTTCGCCATCACTGCCTGAAGTGATTCTAATTTCATTAGAAAAAATTGTAATTCATGAAAAAGGAGTGACGTTAAATGGCTGAGCGCTCTGGATAATTTAAAAAGGTATAAAGGATTTGCATCACTCTTTCTTTCCACTCAGAAATTCTGGATGAACCTGCCTGCCATACTGAACTCTGCCAGGTTGTCATGAAGTTGCCTGTGACTAATAGAGACACACTAGCATTTCTCATGCTCCATCTGCGTAGGTGAGCACAACTTTAGGCTTGGAAAGGAAAACCTTAGTTATCAGATAGCTGGGAGAGAGGTTTTACAGGCCACCCAGTCCAGTTTCCTGCTTGATGCAGAAAAAGAATTTTTTTTTTTTGCCAACTTGCACCTGTCTTCGAGAAGCTTTGAGTTCTCCAATGAAGATGGAATCATCTTTTACAAAATAGCCAAACATAAACTTGCACACGTGTTTTGTCTGTCTTGCCAGAAGAATAACACTGCTAATTCAGATCGATCTGCAATGCAGTAGCAGATATTTGCACAGTTGTAAACTCATTAAGCTGGATTGTATGTTAAGATTGTAGTGGTATCTATTCCTCCCCATCAGACACATTTTTAAAGCAAAGAACTAGCACAACTACTTGGCAGAGAGCCACATTTTAAAACTTTTTTTCTTGCGAAAACAGTTGCTCATGGAAGCTGACACAACATCTAATTCAGCCTATCCCAATCTTTTGCTTTCTAGATTTGCTGAAATGAAATCTCGTACTTTCCTGCCATCGTGATCATAGCGGTTGAAATTACACTGAAGCCTAGTTGTTATTTACTATGCCTACTGTTGCTCAGAGGCTGGACTATTATGAATACTTCCTCTTCCATACAAAAAAAAAATCATGGGAATGTACAGTAGTACAGATAGTTCTCACTTAACAGCCGCAATTGGGCTTTGAATTTTGGTAATAAGTCAGGGCAGTTGTTAAGTGGGCCACAGTGGTTAAGTGTACGATGTGGTCATTAAGCGAACTATGTGGTTAAGTAAATCCAGCATACGTAATATCCCTTTCTTGCCGTTTTCTGCTGGAAAGCAGCAAAAACAATAGCAAAATGCAGTCACATGACTGGGGTGGGAGGGGGCAGCATAACATTTTACGGCAGCCAGAAGTATTTTATCCTTTCCGAGGCCGTCATAACTTCAAAAGATTGTTAAGTGATTGTCATTAAACAAAGACTATAACTTTTAAAACTTATTCAGACTTCATGATCTCCTTGCAAAAGTGTGGTTTTCATTCGAACTGTAGATATCTTCCATATTCTAAAGGAAAAGGAAAGATTTCTAGGTTTAGACACTAGCCTTGACCCAAACTGGGCTTCATGTGTGAATTCACATCCCTCCTCGTAGTGTGTGAAACAGCTTTTCCCATCACGTACATATTAGGCATGGCTAACGATAGGTAGCAGAAAGGCTTTTGCTGTAGCATGGACTACTACTTACATGGATCCCTCTCTCCATCCATAGGGTCATGCAAAGCCCTGACTGTCAAATGGACCACCATAACTTGGCACGTATCTTCGGACCACTACTAGTTGGACACAGCACTCCCAGCCCCAGCCCACTTGCCATTATGGAAGGCACACCACGCCAGTACCTGGTAACAGCTGTGACCTCCTTCCAATTTGCAGTGGCTCATCACTGTACAATGCTCAGCCTTTATCAGAAATGTTTGATTTTATAGGATTGATTCCTTTGTATGACAATAACGTATCTCTTGTGGGATGGGTTGGGAGAACATGGCTTCTCTCAAATGTGAGAACAACCCTATCTCCATTACTATTTATACTAACATTGGAAGTATTGAATAGAAACATTAGACAAGATATAGAAATTAAAGGACTGAAGGTAAAAGATGAAAAATATAAACTACAAGCATTTGCAGTTGATTTGGTTTTCATATTGGAAGATCCATTGGAAACAAGCACCAAACCTCTGGAGAAAATAGAAAAATTTGGAGAAGTGGCAGGGTTGACAATGAACAGAGAAAAGACTAAAGTGCTAACAAAGAATCTAACAGAAAAACAAAAAAATCAACTAACAAAAAAACAAATTTTCAAATAGTTAAAAAAGTTAAATATTTGGGAATTTATCTAACATCAAGATGTGTAACAATAAAAGAAGATAATTATGTAAGACTGCTAAAACAAATTAAATTGGATTTGGAAAAGTAGAAAAACTTTCAATGTTGAGGAGACTAGCAACAGTGAAAACGAATATCTTACCAAAAATACTCTTTTTATTTCAAACGATTCCTGTAAGGCTGGGAAAAGCCTTTTTTGATGAACTGAATACAATAATATTAAAATTTATCTGGCAAGGAAAAAAAAGCTAGAATTAAAGTGAAAATGCTACAAGAAGCGAAAGAAAGTGGAGGATTTGGACTGCCGGACTGGAGGTAATACTACCAAGCAACTATTTCAACATGGCTTAAAGAATGGATAATGCTTAGAGACAAAAGACTATTGTACCTAGAGGGGCATGACCTACAAATTGGTTGGCATGCCTTTCTGTGGTATGGGAAGAATAAAATACATACTTTCAAAACCATTTTATAAGGAATGCACTTCTTTCAGAATGGGAAAAAATAAAATTTATATTAAGATACCTGAATGGCTTTCAACAATAGAAGCTTTTGCTTACCCAAATTTAATTAACTACGATAAAGTTGTGACTTATAAAGGTATTTTGGACAATGAAGGAAAATTGAAAGACAGACAAGATTTACAAGAACAAGCTATTGATCTAGTATGATGGCCATATCTGCAAATTCAAACGAGATATGAAAAAGATATTAAAACAATGGGGTTTTATAAAGAACAGACAGAATTTGATCAGATACTGCTAAAACTGATGAAAAGTTGATTAAGAAACTCTATAGATTTCTGTTAAACTTAAAAATGGAGGAAGAACAAGTAAAAGAAATAATGGTAACATGGGCAAAGAACTTTGGATATAATATAGAATTAGAAGATTGGCTAAAGTTAAGGGAAAGAAATATTAAATTAACTAAAGCAGTGGCATATAAAGAAAAGTTATATAAAATGTTTTACAGATGGCATATGACACCAGTGAGATTAGCAAAAATGTTTAAAAATACTTCAAACTGTTGGAAATGCAAACAAAGACCAAGTACTTATTATCATATCTGGTAGACATGCCCTAAAGCAGTGGTTCTCAACCTTTCTAATGCCGTGAACCCATAATACAGTTCCCCATGTTGTGGTGACCCCCAACCACTTATACATCACCGGGTGCCAGGGGCGTGGCCAAAGAAAAGGGGAAAAAATGGCGGACAGCCTTGTTTGGCGACCCCCGTGAAATGGTCATTCGACCCCAAATGGGGTCCCGATCCACAGGTTGAGAACCACTGCCCTAAAGCAAAAAGATTTTAGGTTAAAATACATTTATGGTTGGAGAAAATGACTAAAAAACAAATAGACTTTAAACCAGAATTATTTTTGTTAGGAATAATAGGAGCTAATTATGAGAAAGATTGCAGATATTTAATACTACACGTATTAATGGCAGCAAGAATTTTATTTGCCCAACATTGGAAAAATGAAAATTTACCAGCTGAAGAAGTACTAATTAAGAAAATTCTAGAGTGTGCAGAAATGGATAGATTGACTTTAAAGATAAAAGTGAAAGAAGACTTAGTGTACTTTAGAACATGGGATAATTTCTATCAATGGCTAGAAAAACGAGTTAGAAAAGAATGTGATATGTAATTCTGAATATATATTAGCAAGAAGAAGGCTATTGAGTGATTAAAATATTGTTTATGATAATTAACTATTATCTATTATTGTTTGTTAAACACATGAACCCAGACATTATGCTGTTTGCTAAATATTGAGAATGTTATTTGGAAAAACCCCAACCCCAACCCCAACCCTAACCCAAATCCCAAACCCAAGCCTGACTCCACCTTATTCCTAATCCTATAAAAACTAATAAAATCTATACAAAAGAAAATGTGAGAACAACCAAGACTTGATAGCTGGGTTGTAGTGAATATTCTTCTTAACCTCCTTTTTTTGCTTTTGAGATTTCACTGGGCATTATTTGATTAATAATTCATGGATTATTTGATTAAATTTAACTGCCATCAATCTTGCTGTTGAAGTGAGTCTGAGTGGCTACTTGTATATAATATATTATAAATTATAAATATATAATCATATATTTTGAGATATGCATCAGCTAAAGAACCAAGAGGGAGATAAAAAGAAGGTGGAGGAATTAGGAGATAGACAGAGGCTGATGTTACTTCCTTTCTATAGGTCATCTCCCGTCTCCTAACATTGCCACTCAAATTTTGGAAGCATTTTATAGAAGAAGAACAAGAAAATCTTGTCCCATCATTACAACAGTCCATTGTAATGAATGAGCAAGGTGAGTTAATTCAAATATAAGGCAGGGGGAACATTGCTGTTTTGATAATCTTGTAAAGCAAGTGTGTTACAGGAATGAACCAAATCTTTCCTGACCAGCACAGACCAGCTCTTCCATCCACTTGTTTCCCCAGAGGCTAGCGCTATCCAGATGTGTCCAGGAAATGGCTGCTTTCCAAAAAAACTTCATAACTGCATAGGCACAACTTTGCCACCTTTGTGAGTATTATATTAAAAGACAACATAAAACTTGGCTATATGTTATGGAATTGCGGCATTAGTCAAACCATGCTGGAGTTTGGAGTTGGAAAAAGTTCCCTCAATATTAAGGTTCACTGTATATTATATAGTGAGCCAATACTGAGTGTTATGTCACCTTATACAGTGCATAAAACATGTCCCTTCACATCCAGTGACAAACCTTTATCTATTGGGTTGCATTTTGTTGTGATTCCTCATCAGCCAGTGGATCCAGCAGCCGAATCTGAGGACTCGGATGAAGAGGAGGGGCCTGAAGTGACATTGAAATCTGAGAAAGGCTCTGAGGAGCGCCAAGACTCACAGTCAGATGAGGAGCCTGGCCCCTCTACTCACGCTCTGGCAGAGACACAGCAGTTTTGGGAGCCTGAGTTGGGTGACAATGAGGAATAGCTGGGGCCAATCCCAGATGTGCGGATGCGCAGAGAGGAGAGGCGAGCAAGACAGAGGAAGGCAGTGGGGTGGCTCCAGAGGCAAAAGAAAAGTCATTAAGAAGCCACGCCCTGGCTGGACTATAAAAGGGGGAGGTGCTGGTTGCCGAAGGCAACTGTTCACACTGCAACTTTGTGTTTTATTGATTGGGTTGTTTGCCTCCGAAGTCTTGGACACTGAGTTAGGTGTATAAAAATAAAAAGGGGGTTGTTTTTCGTGTGGATCCTGCCTAGTTCCATGAAGAAGGGTATTTCCTCGTGAGTAAAGCAGTTGAGCAAGTACTTGCGTAGACTGGGACAGAACACATTTGGGCTCTTTTTGGTCTGCCAGCAGCACCATTATTAGTGGAAGGATTGTTTGATTATAGAGGACATGTTCATTCTTGGGTTACCTTTTTTATTCTCTTCTGACAGGAATGTTCCCCATGCCAAAAAGATGGGAAGATTCTTGCCTCTTCCAAAATAAGGAGCTACTCAAGGTGGCCATTGATTCTGATTGCTAATGAAAATGTGTTCACTTGGTGACTGCATCATTCTTGCCTTGCTTTCTCCAGCAAGCCTCCTTCCAACTTCCAGCCAAGTTCCTACAGTTTAAAAATATTTAATAATCCACTGTTATTTCTTAATATTGGATGGCGTTTGATCTTCCTGAAGAACATCATGGTTCCCTTTTTTTTTCTGTAACTAGGGACTCACAAAAGAGTGGAATGAATCCTTGACTAACATACTACTGATTTCTTCATTTTGGACTTGTGGGTGAACTGAAGATGTTCAGATCTGTCTTGGTCAATTTACTTATAATAATTAGCAGATTCAATAGGATGAATCTGATTGGTGGACAAAAATATGCCCACTTTTGTACATTTTGGTCCTATTATCGCATATATATAGCAAAATTTCATATTACTGGTATCTGATGTTCGGAAAGTGGACAAGGAAAGAGAAAAAAAAATAGTAATCCCTGTAACTGAAGACAAGACATTTTCTGAAGGCATAGCTTTTTTGAAAAAACATCACTTTTATTGCAGATTTGCTTTAGCAATTAATCTTCTTGACTCTCTTTAGAATAAGCAGATTTTCTTTTCAGGAGACATACTGTAGAAAAATAAAAATGGCAATGCTCATATACAATGGTGGATGTCCGGGAAGAAAATCAAAATCCATAGTTGGGCAATATCTTTTCTTTGGAGCAACAAGAGTATATATGTTTCTAGTATTCTTAGTCCTGTATTCCAAAAGCAGGGAATAAGGAAAACAATGTGAAAATAGAGGTTGCCCTCTAAATTATCCCCCAATTATTGCACAAGTCTCAGTTGGGGACATTAGGAAATGACTGGGCTTCAGGTCAAATAGGGAATTTGAAAATCCCCTTATCATGGCAAACCTATATTGTTGACGAGAAAATTTTGTGGGATCAACCCAGTCAAGAACTGAGCTAAACTAGATTTAGGGACCTTATTGTAATAGGCACCAGAGGATACCTTAGGTACAATGGGATAAAGCAGCCATTTCTGAAAATTACAATCAAACAGAACCTTAGAACTGAATTATGCCTTGGATTAAGTGCATATCCTTCAGGCTAGCCAAGAGAATAAAGGATGACAATCTTGAATGAGGCATTCATTTGAGGTACTGTATGGCACTAAGATAAAGCCACTGATTTCAAATCTCATGACTGCAGCTGTTAGCTTAATATGGGGGCTTTTCTGCTATTGCCTCAAATGGTGCGAAGAATCTGGAGGACTCAAAAAGTCACACTATGTTCATTGAAGCCATTCTTCAGTTATGGATTATTTGTAGATTATTCCCCTCTAAAGAAAGGCTTTTGGAAGTTATGCAGGTACTTACTCGCTCAGAAGACTGAAGTAATCATAGTTTATATATTCTTTAGACAACTCTTTACCCACTGCATGCTCAATTCTCTCCACAGGAGTAGGGCCGACCCAAATTTGACTTAACAGTGGTGTTGCACTGATTTACTTAAACTCCACACCTCTATAATTTCGTATAGGCTTTTACTAGCCAGAAAGTGTTCTCATCTAAATGCTTTAAGGCAGGGGTGTCAAACTCAATTTCATTGAGGGCCGCATCAGCATTGCAGTTGCCCTCGGGGGGCCGGGTGGGTGTAGCCAGGGTGAGTGTGGCCTACTGGGTGGGCGTGGATGGAGTGGGTGTGGCCTACTGGGTGGGTATGGCCAGCTCTACATCATTCACATCAAGGATGCCTGTAGGGGTCTGGGCAGGAGTGGGACAGATCTGAGAGTCTCTGGCAGAAGGGGGTGGGACCAGAGCAAGTGCCAAGGCATGGTACACTGGAGGAGCCTCACTGTTCCTCTCAGGCCATGTGGGGGGGGGGGCTTATGGAGCTAAGACTGAATGCGTTTCAGCATAGATGGCCACCACAAAATTGTACATTGGCTCCCGGCTGGCCTGGGCCAGGGCCAAGGCAGTGGTGGTCGTTCCCTCACTGTTTCCAGGATGGCTTCACAGGCCACATGAAACCACTTCACGGGCCGCATCCGGCCCCGGGCCTTGTGTTTGACATGTCTGCTTTAAGGGCTGTTTAGTCCTGATCCTCATATACTTGAAGAGTACCTCTATGCAGAGCTCACACCTCTAGCAGTAAGATTTAGGCTTCTTGGTCTTGCCTCACTGAGGCTTAGGAAATAAGCAGTGCTTAAACCAACATGGCTTAGGACAAGAGTGGATTGTGTCTTAAATTGTAGAAGATTGAAAAGGGTCCTTTGGAATTACAGGTAGACTTCGAATTACAACTGGTCACATAGTGACTGAAGTTACAACGGACTTCCCCAGAGTTACTTACAACCCGGTTTCAAAGTTCTGATGACTGCCCTTCCATGGTCACACAACTGCATTTTGGACACTTGGAAAGTGGCCCATATTTATGGACATTTACAGTGTCCTGCAGTCACATGCCTATAATTTATGTTTTTGCCCAAAAACAGCATTTAGTTCCAGTTTTTTTTGGCAAAAATGCCCCATGGTGAACAATGGGTTTACTTAATGACCATGGTGTTTGCTTAATGACCAGTACAAAAACAAAATTGTACGATCAAGTTAGTCACATGATGACCTGCTTTTACAACCATCACAATTCACAACAGTATTTGGCACGCTCCATTACAGCCATAAGTCGAGGACACCCTATATCCGTGGTGGCGAACCTATGGCACGCATGCCACAGGTGGCACGCAGAGCCCTCTCTGTGGGCACATGCACCATCACCCCAGTCCTAGGCCTTCAGCTGGGTTTTATAAAACCTTTCGGCTTTAGGCCTCAGCCGCCATGTGCAAAAAAAATAAAGGTTCAATAAATCCATTTCAACTTCTCGCGGGGAAAAAAAAGATCTCACAAAGTTGGAATTGATTGATTGAACTTTTTAGTCCCACCCAGTCTGCCATTACCACCGCAGCCACGCCCACCCAATGGGCCACACCCATCCAATGGGCCATGCCCACCCGGCACCCGACGATAACATAAGTGGGTTTTGGGTTGCAGTTTGGGCACTTGGTCTCTAAAAGGTTCACCATCACTGCCCTATATCTAGCTCAATCGCCTGAAACAGCATTCCAGGCAGGCAGCCATTAGTTCTTGCTTAAAAAACCAAGTGCCACTTACTGGAAAATGGAGGTATGATTCTATATAAAAGGGGTAGCAATGTGAAAGATTTATTTCCCCAAATGTGATAGCAATAACAGTACAAATTATATTCTGACTTGGAGGAAAACTCTCCCATATTAAATTGTGTCCCCCCTAGTACAACCTTTCTTACTGTGTGCTACAGTTGCACAAAAACAAAATCTTGATTTATACTGCTGGCTTAAGAGGAAAGATGAATTGCTGACAGTAAAACCAGCTCTCCCTGTCTCCAGTTGACAGAGGGTATTATGTTTCAAAACAGGGGAAAATACGTTGAATAGGTGCTTAAAAGTGTCCAGACTTAAGGGCCCTGTCTACCTCGCAACAATTACCCTAGGCTAGTCTTATGCCTTGCAAGTGGTTCAGTGCAATGAAATAACAAAGCAAGACATGAGCCTATTTTAAGAACTAAGAAAAAACCCTGCAGGTTTTTCTAAAGCCGCTAAGCCTAGTCCTTTTCAAGGTGTGGAATCTGTCTTTAAGTTAGAATTAATCCACCTCCTGGTCTATCATCCTGCAGCAAAGGTAAAGAACTTTTGGGATTAGGCTTTATCCTGAAGCAGTAGCCATCGCGCCTCTAGCAATCTTTTTTTCCAACTGAAGCAAAAGAGACCGTGAAGCGTGTTGGATTTTCAAATACAGTCTCCTTCTGTAAGTGAGGCCAAGAAGAGGAGGCAAGCAACAGATGCAGTGTTCAAGACACACACCCCTCCTCCCCCCCCCACTTGTAGCAGACTAGTTTTTGTATATTAGTTTAGGGGCGAAGAAGTGACACCTCCATTGGCAATTCTGAGGTTAGAACTTTTGTCCTCCTCAGGTCTCCTCTCAACTTTCTTGATTCACTGAGAGGAAGGAACCAGCAGTCAAGTCTCCAGTGTTGGCTCTTGAGAGGCTAGGCCTTCTTCATCTCTGTTAGAGCTCCTCCTGGCCCCCACAAGCCACAGATGCAGTAGCAGTAGATCAAGTAGCAAGTAGTCCTGCACACCATCAGAGGGACTAGCGGTTGATGCCTGCAGAATGGAATTCATAAAAGTTAATATCTAGTGGGAAATGAGCCAACCCTTTGCTGCTTTTGGCTACTGAACTGCCATGAAGCTTCTGAGAAACAGTGCAAGGAGTATGTCCCACTGGACAGACCCTACCATGATTGTTTTTCTGAGAAGTACAGTTCTGAGGGAGAACGCAGGTCAGGCTATTACAACAGTGTCCTCAAGTACATATACGCCCTTTCCCCATTTAAAAATGATCTGCTTTGCTGATCAGCTCATTAGGAGGTACTTTATTGAGACTGAAGCCACAGGAGGATAATGACCTTGGATTTTGATGTACCAAATCAATACACTATAAAGAGCAAACAATGATTACAGGTTGTACAGAATCAGAAAGAAGCCCTCAAAAGAAATAGGCAATAACTTTTGTATAAGCAAAGAGGGCTGAAACATTACTGGAGTCCTGAGAAGCAAGATGGTATTTGGAAGAGGCTTGGATAGGCTCCTCCCTAATTAAGTAGGTAAGAGGGAATAAAGTATAAGCAGGCTTGCAAGATTCTGTTATTAAAGTCAATCTCAATAAAAGTACAGTGCTGGTTTTTCTGCAGAGTTTGGTTCCTGATCTGGCCGGCCCCAAATTGCTAATTCATAGTAAAGCAGAAGCAAATAGGAGGAACCCTGGGAGTTTTAGGTTACTGGATGATTTGCAGTGGACTGGCAAGAGTTCCTGACTAATAGCTGCAGCAAGAAGATATTTTCTTTTTTCACACCTAAATTGATTTACATCTAAATTAGTGTATACCTAATTTTATTTATTTATTTATAATAAATAAAATATACATTAATAAACAAAACGCTTAAGTAGTTAATTATTAATTACAGTTTCCAGAAAATTAAGTATAGGGTTTTGTCAGACAGGTCTCTGGGATTTATCTTTCCAGATTCTGGAAGATGGAATTTTGGGTTTAAAAAATGAAGTGGAACTGAGCAAGCCGACTTTGTTCTGCTTTAATGTCATTTTAGTGCTCCAGCAGAATAAACATAGTCCTAAAACAAGTATAATGTGACAACTTGCAACTATAAATCACCTATAATTACAGCTAGAGCCCTCAGAGAAAATCAGAGCACAGCTTCCAATCAACAATACTGGCTGCAGTCCTAGATTTTGCCTAAATTAAATGCATCACATAATTGCTGACTTCATTAAACCGTGAATCAAGGAGAAACTCTTAAGACTGACTGAGAAAGACATTTGTTACAGTACTCATAGTTTTAACTCTTTTTTGAGTATTGTGCTGGGATATAGAGTGAAAGTTTAAGGAAATTTACAAATTAAGGATGTTGGTAAAGAAACGATTATGCTTAAGCAGCGTTATCCATGCTTTTCCCTTCTACTTGAGAAAGTATGCATATACCTAGAGAAATCCATAAAACTCTGCCCTCCTTATCTCTAGGTCTAGAAGCCTTGACATTTTGGAAAGTAGAAGGACATATTGGGAATTGCCAGCTGAATCGTTACTAATAGACAAATTCTATATTCAAATCTATGCCAGCCAGCTGAGTGCACAACTACAGATGGGCACAAATACAGCTAGCTTTGGGTTTGTGGCAACAGCAAGAAATCAAAGTCAAAGGCTCAGTCAGGCTCATTCTAAATCAAGCACAATGGAGCAAGGCAAGAAAAGGCTTTCGGTTGGGGCAGCTTATATGCACATGGCCAAATTGTCATGATAACCCTTACAGCTAAAATGATGCAGCTTTCCTAAAAGAATTAGGCTTTATTTTTTTAACTTTTCCTGTGGGATTACTACTTCACAGCCAAGAGGTAGCCAAGACTGTCCAGAGCTATGCAATATAAGAGGCACTTGTCCACCAAGCATTAATGGAAATTTCCAGGGCTTTTTTTTGTCATAGAACGCCCAGAACGGAGTTCCAGCACCTTTTTTGGATGGAACCTTGTAGGGTAGGCAAGGTGGGTTGTATGACGTGTGTGAGTTCCGGCACCTTTATTTATTTTTTTTTACAAAAAAAGCACTGGGAATTTCAAGGAAGACAGTGGAAGGTTCCATGGCTTCTTTTCCTAACTGTAACATTGCCATGGTCACTTCACCCCAGGTCCCCCATCGCATCCGATCTATTGTGGGCATTCATTCTCAGTTGGCCTTCCACCAGCACTCCTCTCCCACCACTTGTCCTCCATCCTTCCCCCCACTGCGTGGCCATGGTGATTCACCTAGGGACACTCATTTGCCCAAGGCCACTGGGAAGGCAGAGGCTCATCCCTCAGTGTGTGGATTGGCCGGCGGATAATTGTCCCAGGCCATGAATCGTCCAGGGATAAGTGTCCTGGGCAAATAGACTGTGGCCACCGCAGTGAGGAGAGGACAGGGGACCAATGGCAGGAAAGGAGTGCTGACAGAAGGCCAGCTGAGAATGAATGCTCACAATAGCTTAACTGCGATTGGGGACCCTGGGTGAAGTAGGCATACGGCAATTGTCCCAGACCTCTTTGTTACTGAGGATTCATTGTGTACTGCTAGAAATGGATATAATGTGGAACTAATTTATTAGTGCTAGGTAAAAATAAAGAAATTTCTCTCTCTCTCTCTTTCTCTCCCTCCCTCTCTCTCTCTTTCTCTCTCTCTCTCTCTCTCTCTCTCTCTCACACACACACACACACTCAGACACACACAGCTGCTTGGCTTGTTGCCTGGAGCAGAACAATCCAAAACCCTTAATTATCTCTTTTGCCACAAAACCCTGTGTCTATTCACTGTGTATTAACGCAATCATCAAATGAATACAAAAACCACAAGGCTAAAAGAAAAAGCAACTGAACTTAAAAGCTTGCATTTAATTTTGGAATCCTTCTGTTATCATAAAATTAGAAGATGAGATTCTGTCTTTTTGAATTCCCCCCCCCCCCCAAAAAAAAAGTCTACATTGCTCCTATAACTCTGCTGCACCAGCCTTCTTCCAAGCCAGGAGTATAGTGCTAGATGGAGTAAACATACAGACCTGGCTTGATATGATGGATATGAGAAACCAGCAGCAAGTTAAAAAATGAACAGCAGCAGCAGCAGGAAACAGGCTGGAGAGGCCAAGGCCTGGGGCCTACCTGAGCTGGAGAGAAGTGGAGGAAATGGAGGGTGCAAATGGAAGAAGGATGGAGCGTCGACCAGCTAAGAGTTTAGGGCATCGATACCTGCAGGTGTGAGCACCAAGGCTTGGAGAATGTCAGAGAGAGACACGATCCCCCGCGGAGTGTTCTTCTTATCCACCAGAACCAGGCGATGGACCTACCCAATGAGTGAGCCGAACACCATCAAGGCAAAAGTAGGAACAGGACAGTAAAGATGAGTTTTAGATACCAGACAGAAAAGATACCAGAAGTGAAATAACAGTGTTTAGCACAGTCTGTTTAGGAATTAAGAGCATTCTGTGGGAAAGGTAGGTGGAAAGCAGGGCTTTTTTTCTCATAGAACGCCCAGAACGGAGTTCCGGCACCTTTTTTGGATGGGTAGACAAGGCGGGTTGTATGACGTGTGTGAGTTCTGGCACCTTTTTTTTTTTTTTTTAGAAAAAAAGCACTGGTGGAAAGTATATAGAAACAAATATGGTGGAGCCTCAGGTAGGCCTTATTGCATCGCTGTCATCTCCAATGGCCTGGAAAAGAGCAGATGCCCTGGCCAAAAGAAAGCAAGGAGTGCTCTTTCTAAGCCAAGTTGTAAGGTTATCAATTACACTTAAAAAAAAAAAAACAATGTCCCTGTGTGAAGGGGTTCCTGAAACATCATCCCATGTTTTCTTATATTGCTCTCATTATAAGGATCCCAGCTAGAGCTAATACAGGTAGTGGTTGACTTACAACCATTCGTTTAGTGACCATTCAAAGTTACAACGGCACTGAAAAAAGGTGACTTATGACTATTTTCACACTTGTGGCCGTTGCAGCATCCCCATGGTCACGTGATCAAAATTCAGCCTCTTGACAATTTGTGACAATTGCAGTGTCCCAGGGTCATGTGATTTGCTTTTGCGAGCAAAGTCAATAGGGAAGCCAGATTTACTTAACAATGTTACTAACTTAACTGTAATGATCCATTTAACTGTGGCAAGAACGGTGGTAAAATGGGGCAATGTCCCAGGGTCATGTGATCACCTTTTATAATCTTCTGAAAAGCGAAGTCAATGGATAAGTCAGATTCACTTAACTGTATTACTAATTGTAGTGGCGAGACAAGTCATAAAATAGGGCAAAACGCACTTAATAGCTGTCTTGCTTAATAACAGAAATTTTGGGCTCAATTGCGGTCATAGGTTAAGGACTACCTATAATTTCCCATCTGACAAACCTCTGGATCCATTTTATTTATAGGTTGCTCTCCAATCAAGGATATTTTATTTGTTTTAAAGGGGCTATGTTTTGTTTTATTATTTGTAAAACACACGTTTTGTCACCAATTTTATAACAAGATTTTACTGTGGTTTTTATTTCCTTTCTCATAATTATTTCTCATAAAATAATTTTTATTTCCTTTTTCATAATTTTCTTTTTCAGCTGCTCAGTGTCTATAATAAAGCACTACCACTACTTAAAAGGATGTTTATAGAGGATTGTAAATAATAGTGGTAATAATCAGATGCTTTCACTATATGAGCTTGTATTTGCCATAGCATCTTGCTATATTATGTATTTGCAACCAATTGTTATTATTAGTTGTTAATTTTATTTGCTGCCTATCTCACCATGGGACTACTCTAGATGGCTTATAATAATAATAACAACTGTCTATTCCAGGTACTTAAAAAGGATTCGATAGGGAGATAAAATGCCAAATTCAGTCTAAACATCTGACTGATTGCAACCAACCATAATAATAATGCCATAATTTGCATTTTTATGCTTAAATCTTCTTCAGCTGCCAGGAAAAAAAAAACAAAAGCTAGAAGTCCAGATATTACAAAAGTTGCCCACACCAGATTAAAAATGTAAAATAAAGATCCATATGCAGCACCCAAAACACACCCATACATTCTACTGTTTATAGTCTTTTCCATATGAAAAAGAGCTGGCTAAGTGAGCCTAGGTTGCTTCTGGAACACCTGTCAATAAAAGTCAGGGGATAGGTGACAGGATGGTTGGATTAAAACCATACATCAGCCATGACCTAGTAAGCAAAAGGCTTTGGATCTGAAGGACACACATATTGAGGACATTTGGGGAAAGAAGGACATGAATTTACCCAATTCACTGCCCACTCCTGTCTACGATCCTGGAGCCATACCTGCTCTTTGGCAATGCGATCAATGATGTCTTCTAATGTTTCATGGGGATGGCATGTAAGGACCCCTTCTAGGCAGACCGAGCGCTGTTTCAGGGCTTCCCCCACACTAATGTCCAGGTTGTTGTAAGACTTCTGGGCAGCCAAATGCTATGGAGAGCAAGTGGATAGGAGGAGTTTGAAGGAAAGAGGAAGTACGGCATTACGGCATTATGGCCACCATGATCTCTCACTGTTAAGCTGAGAGAACACTGAGAGGCACTTTGAATTCTTTGAAGCAAGGCCTTAGCATAATCACCTCATAGTGACGCACTAATTCACTGATAGGATAGGTCACATTGAACCATGGTTTGCTTAACTATAATTTATTACACAAATTATGATTGGCTGGGCTTCTAACATTTTATGTCACGCCTGACAGCTTTCTGACTTCAATGGCTGGGTTCATCCAATATGATAAGGTAAAATGAAACTAAAAACAATATGTTCTAGTGTGATAAGTAAACCCAGTCATATATAACAAATTTTCTATGGAAACAAAACTACCCTAGTAAAAGGATTCATCTAGATCAGGGGTGTCAAACTGCCAGCCCGCAGGCCAGATGCGTCATGGTGAAACCGTGCCCACCCCATTGCTGGCACATTACGTGATGTTGCAAGTTTGATACCCCTGATCTAGATCACTGTAGAATTCCATGAATGAGATAGACAATAATAAAAGCCTCATCTGGAGGCATTGTCCTTACACTGCTTCTCTAAAATGCATGAGTTAAAGGCTTTTTCCTATCTTAAAGGTGAACAACATACCTTTCTTATACCATTGGTTAAGAATTGCTGTTTCCCCATCACATAAACATACACATTTTGTTTTGTATGTGAACTGTTGTAGAGTAGTCCTCCTTGGTGTATTTATCCCAAAATTTTGTTCCCAAATAATTTATCTTTAAAATAACAGTTATCTTAGGATTGGGGATTTATTGCAAAAAAAGTTTGGTAAAGACCTGTTTGTTTTTTATTTCTCCCTCCCTTGGGTATGGGGCAAATCTTAAATCTGGGAATGACTTCCTTTAAATACAGCACTTCTGTTTATTAGATCATCTGAACCTGAAAGAATAACTGCCCCATACTTACAATCACATCGAAGCGAGAATAGAGGCCAACTACTGTTCCTGTATAAAAAGCAGAAAGGAACAGCAGGTCAGGAATCTCTCCAGGTGTAATGAATTAAAGATTACAATGCATGAAAGTTATCACAGAAAAAGTTAACCGATTTTCCTGCAACAAACCTGACAATGAACATGCTTTCACAATTTCATCATGAATTTCCAGGCCTGCCTTACAGCTTGAAGCTAAGAATGGAAAATTAACATTACCAATTTAACCAAGTTATCTCTACTGTATACAGGTATTTTATGAATGAATTCCTTTTTCAGTATTTGCCAAAGAGGATCTTAGCAACTATTAACAGAGTTAAGGATTGATTTAGCTTAAAACAGAGTTAAATTAGATACATATTCATTAAAATATCTTTGTGCATCTTATTAATCACCATCATCCCAAAATGTTGGGAGTTTTTTTGAAATTCTGTCATAAAATGACAAAAAAATCTTTATTTACCTGATGTCAGTGTTTACAGGGGACAACTTTATTTTTCGTGGTATTAAAAGAACAAAAGATTGTTCTGAAATATCTCTATCTTAAAAGCGATAAGCTTGAATCAAGACTAAGGCTTCAGTCATATATCTGAGAAGACTTACTGAACTCACTGGACTTATTTTAAGTATGGATCCACAGGGTTATTCATTTTTATTTTATTTGTATCCTGCCTTTATTATTATTTTTACAAATAATTCAAGGCAGTGAATATATCCAACACACCTTCTTTCTCCTACTGTCTCTGCAACAATCACCCTGCGAGATGGGTTGGGCTGAGAGAAAAGGACTGGCCCAAAGTCACCCGGCCAGCTTTCATGACTTGAACTCAAGATCTCCTTCTTTCTAGACTGATGCTTTAACCACTAAACCAAACTGGCTCTCATTTATGTTGTGAATTAGCATCACGTTCTAGCATGCCTCTTTGTAGCACTTTAGTCTGCAACTGGATATCCTGAAGACAGCATCATCACTCATAGGAAGCAAAGGCATAACAAAATGTGATAATACTGGGAAGTAAATATCAAAGGAGAGCAGCCCAAATATAAATGAGCAACAGAGATTGGAGAGCGCCAGCAATACAGTATAATATTGTACTGAGAGGAGAAAGGAAAAAGAGATGGACCTAGGCCAGAAAAATAGATTGTAACAAGCATGCTGACTTAGCCATGTGCAATAATAAAATATTGGCAAGCTAAGCCTCATAACTATGACAACTCAAATGTAAAGCTGCTGTCATAGTTGTGGAGGCAGCAAAAAGAGGAAATTATTCGAGCTTCTGAATGATTGGAGAAATGACTATCATAGTTATCCTGGCTTATGACAGCACAGATCATTTCTCCAAGAATATGGCTATCAGCTTCAGGGGCTTGTATGAGCCGAAGATGAACACCTTCCCCAAAGAGCTAAGGATCTTAGCCATGATTAGAGTCGCCCACTTGGGAATGACAGGGTTTGTACTTAGCATCTCTGGAAGGAACCAAGTTGGGTAAGGTCAATTTACATAATTTCATGAGGCACCTATAGTTACTTTTCTCGTTTAGGGATAGAAAACTCTCACGTTCCAATGATTCTGGGGTACTAGTGGGGGTAACTGCAGAACTACTAACTGTAATATTTTAATCCAGAATTGTTCCACTCTACTCTGCCTTAGGCAGACCCCACTTGGAATACTATGCCCAGTTTGGAGCACTGGAGCACTCTAAAAGGACATCAACAAGCCCCAATAAGTTCAGAGAAGGGCTATCAAGATGGAGACAGGAGTAGAAAGTAAGTCCTATGAGGCCACTTAAAGAAAGTGGATATGTTTAAAGAAAATTGAGGGGAGATATGATATCAGTCTTCCAAATATTTAAATGGCTATCATACAGAGGAGGGAGTAGGTCTTGTATCTGTCGCTCCAGAGGGCAGGAATAGAACCAATGCATTGAAACTATAGGAATGTAAAATTAGGTTACAGTTATTAGGAGAAATGTCTTGCTAATAACCCTAGTAAGTGTGGTCAACTGGTAGAATAGAATGCCTCATGAAGTGAAATATTCCCCATACTAGAAGTCTTTAAACAGAGGCTGGGTAGCCACCCATGTTGAAAGGCTTTAACAGATTTGGACTAGATTTTCCTCTGAGGTACTTTTCAACTTTATGATTCTGTAAAAAGAAAGAGCTGCAATTAGCTGTGCTTAAGCATGTGAGAAAGTGGGCCAAGGTTGAAACTGGCACTGCAAAGAGAAGATAAGCAGCCAGAGATTTTCCCCACACCTTTTTCATTAACCACAGGTAGCGCCGAGACTCTGCGATCTACAAAAATCTCCAGAGCTGTATAGACAGGAGCTGAATCTAGGACTATTGCAATGTCACGAAAGGTACCAATGCCCAGCTCATGGATGGTTTTCTGCAGGAAGCGTGGCTTTGGAAGCATGGCTCCCTACAATGAGAAAAAGAGAGGATTATTGTGGAAGCCAGCTCCATCCTTCTTTCCTCACGATGGAGGCACATAGATACAAATGCTTAAAGCAGCAGCAGAGGTCTAGGACAAAAGCATTAATATGCAATATGGATTAACATCTCTTACCACAAGCTTTCAGTCTAAGCATTTCTCTGAATCCAAAAAGCTGATAAAAGTCAAATTCCCCTGAGGTTCTCATTAGCATATAGCAATCTCGGGTATCTTGTTGAGGCCTGCACTTGGAAGCCACTGTTTTAATTCCCACAATGCTCCTGAGTCAGAGTCAGTCTTTGAACAAATGGAAGTTTATGGTGGCAGTTCGTAGCTGACTACATCTGATTCAGAGCAATGATATCTCCAAGGAAGCCGGCAGGATCAACCAGCATAGGAGAGAAAGACACCAAAATAGGAGAGGGTTCATTAAAAGGCAGTAATATTTGCTCTTCCAATATGTCTCCAGATTATTTGCCTAAATAATTCTTCTACAATGATCATCAATCCAGGTTTTATTTTCCTGGGCCAAAGGGTGTGTAGATCTACTTCTGAATCCTTATTCTGCAGCTTCACTGATTGCTTCAGTGACACCCCACTTATTTCTATTGTTTTTCTTCCAAAACATTAGCCTTCTTAAAATGAGTTCCCCTAGCTTGATCAAATTCCCTTCAGAGATAAAATAAGGAAAGACAAAGAATTAATTGGGTCTGGGGAAGAAAAAAAAAACCTTTGACCAAGGGTGTCCAATCTTGGCAACTTTTAAGAATTGTGGGTTTCAACTTGCAGAATTTCCCAGCCGGCATGACTGGCTGGGGAATTCTGGGAGTTGAAGTCCACAAGTCTTAAAGTTGCCAAGTTTGGACACTTCCGCTTTAATCTTTCACAGAAATCATGAAGAGGAACGATCCATCTACAATGCCTCGCCTACAATCCCTAGCATCTTTTCCCTGTTTCAAATTGTGAACATCTTGAGGGCAGGAAGAGATTTGCGTGCCTGTTTTTGAGCTCGGCCCCCCCAAAAAACTTTTCTCTCAATGTTTTAAAAGCACCATGAGCATTGCCAGTGCAGGAAAGAATTCAGTAGAGCCATCACAGAGCAGCAACACTTCAGGCTTCCTAGACCTTCCCAGCACTCACAAAGATATGCAGAAATTTGAGGATGCGTTTGTGGGTCAGGATGTGCAGGACATTCCCCGAGATGGGATCAATCACAGGCAGCCGGTGGATCTTATTCTTAATCAAGGAATAAACTGCATCAAAGAGGCTAGAAGAGGGAGAAAGGAGAGACAAGAAAAGGCCTTGTGATGTTCCTGGGGGGATGGGGATGGGCTTGGAAACTTCCTCATCTCTGGACAGTCTCCTCCAGGGCATTCAGGAGTATGGGCAGCCTTGCTTCAGGATGGAGGAGTACGTGAAGGAATACAGCTGAGTTATACCCTGTTACGGAAAGAGGCTTGGAGTACAGATAGTCCTTGACTCACAACCATTCGATAACAACCGTTCGAAGTTACAACTGCACTGAAAAAAGTGACATTTGACTGGCCCTCGCACTGTTGCAGCATCCCCATGGCCACATGATCAAAATTTGGGTGCTTGACAACCGGCCTGTATTTTCAATGGTCGCATCATCCTGGGGCCATGTGATCACCATTTGTGACCTTCCCAGCTGGCTTCCAATAAGCAAAGTTAACAGGAGAAGTTGGAGTTACTTAATGACTGCATGATCCACTTATTAACTGTGGCAAAAAACCCATAAAAATTGGATGAAACTCACTCAACTATTGCCTCACTTAGCCATGGAAATTCTGATCCCAACTGTGGTTGTAAGTCAGGACTTTCAACTAGGCAGAAATAAATGTTTTGTGGTTAAGAGATGATTGGTAAAGCATCCATTTTTTTTTTGCCTGTTATCAACTGATTAAAACTATAAAGTAACATAGATTCTACTGGAATACCTCTGGTTCTCCTTATGGGATTCAGATATCCCACTTTATCAGAAGTCTTTCTGATTTCTCTTTGACAGTCACAAAATGACAAGGGTTTTGTGGTACGTGGCAGAGAGAAGCTTTTTGCATTAGGTGGTGGGAATGAAGGTTGACAAATCTCTTACAAAAAGGATGCTTTCTTGCTCTTGGGAAATGCTTGACTTACCTGTGGTTTGGAGAAATGTGCACCAAAGGCTTGAAGGAACCCTGCAAATACACCTCTGGAGAGAAAGGGAGACAGTTGGATAGCATATAATTAATGGATGTGTAAATAACTGCAGTTCATAATGTAATAAGGGCAGATTCTATCAACAATACAAGCTGAGTTTGCCAGATTGCCTTAGTTTATGTGCTTGTATAATTTCTTTATCTTTCAAAAAAAGAATTTAGGACAGTGGTTCTCAACCTGTGGGTCGGGACCCCATTTGGGGTTGAACAACCATTTTACGGGGGTCGCCAAACAACGCAGTCCGCCATTTTTTCCCCCTTTTCCTTAGCTGCGCTACTCCCTTTTATTCTATTGGCTTTTGAAAGCCAATATAATAGACTCTCTTGAATAGAGTCTAATTCTATTGGCTTTCAAAAGCCAATAGGAATTGTCCAGGCTGTCTCTGCCCTGCTGAGCCCGCCAAAAGTCCCATTCTGCAAATGGTGCTGCACCAGTTGAGTAGTCCTCAACTTACGACCAGTTGGGTAGTCCTCGACTTACGACTGGTTGGGGGTCGCGGCATTAAAAGGGTTGAGAACCACTGATTTAGGATAATAACAGACCAGCACTAGTAGCCTATATAACCTCTGGAGAATAACAAAAACTGGACTGTAAGGCCAGCATAGAAAAAAATGAAAGAAGTGTATAGTTATAGCATGAAAGAACTAATAGCAATAGCAGTTAGACTTATATACCACTTCATAGTGCTTTTACAGCCCTTTCTAAGCAGTTAACCGAGTCAGCCTATTGCCACCAACAATCTGGGTCCTCATTTTACCGACCTCGGAAGGATGGAAGGCTGAGTCAACCCTGAGCCAATGAGAATAGAATGAATAATCATTATAATTATCCGTATACAGCCAAATAATATTTATCATTGGCAACCATTTGCTTAGTAAAAGAATACTGGACAATTAGCTCTCAGTTTAAAGAATGGTTTTAATCTAACATTAATGCATGTAAATTGACATAAATGTATCATTCACATATGCAATGATGTTAACTAATGTTAAAAATGTTAAACTGCATTTATGATATCCAATTTCTCTTAGGGGTACGCTGCTTACCTCTCCAAGTTTCAATTTTGTGTCCCTCAATCTCGTATATCTGAACCTGGAACAAAGTAATAGTAGTGAATAGGACAGATACCATTGTTGATCGTGTGAGTTTATAATCACTACTGTTGGCTATTATTGAATTAGGAAGAAATACTGGATTCAGAAACCATCCATTATTCTCCAGGGATCCAGTCTGGAACAGTGGAAATAACCCAATCCAGTTCCTATCACTCCAAAGATAATTCATTCCAAACTCAGGGCTTCCAGAGTAAGCTTGGGGAAAAAGAAAAAAAACTTAGAGCTTACCTACCTTCGGTTTAGTATGGAAAAAACACAGATAGATGTTTCACCAGAATTTAGAATCTTTCTAGACAAGGCAGATCTTCATAAATGGAAGATGTATGTCAAATTTCATCATGCAGAGTTTTAAGCTGCATACTTTTTAAAATGTGATTTTTTTTAAAAAAAAGTGACTGTTGTTTTGGGGTAGACTGTGAAGAAATGATCTGACCAACAGATTTCAAATTTTAAGATACGTATTTCAGAATATTTAAAGCATAAATATTAAAGAGAACTCCTCAAAAGTATGAATCACTTGGAACACACTGTTTGAGAGCAAGATGGACCCTCATTTTTTTAAGCCAGCCATTCAGTATTGGCTTCTTGCTTATGGAAGGGGGATGGATTGGATCACCTTCAAAGCCCCTTCCTGTTTGCTTGAATGAGAAACCAACAGGGTAACTTCACATTGTTTTTGGAAATGGCTCTATGGCTAGCTGATATGAAAAGACAAATAGGTTGACTCTCAATAAATATGTTGAGTAGACATGTATTATATAATTATAATTTTTCCCCCAAATTCCGTTTCTAAAGTGTTTAGGAACACTTCAGATTTTTCTAAAACATTTATTTTTAAACACACTAATATTTCAGTAACAGTTGTATTTACCATGTCAATGAATATTTATTCTAAAAACTGCTCATAGGCCAATGAAAAACAATTTGTGGTGTGTCCATTTTCAAACTTTTTTGTTCACCTACCCATTTTTCCAGCTGAAAGGCTCAACTCTTAGAATCCCAAATCTGGAACAGCTCATGCCTGCAACTTAATTTTAAGTGGTTCTCCCAATTTGTTTCCTCTCTTCTTCTCTCCAGTCCCCTGAAAGAAACTGTCTACAGCCACTTTCCTCCAGATTTGAGAAGATGAAAACTCACCAGAGGGGATCGATAATAGCGATGTAAGATATTAATAAAATCAGTGATGGTCAGCATTCCTGCAGAAGAGGAGGTAAGAGAATGAATGAATGATACTTATACACACCCAGAGGTTGCAGGAAATGGGCTGCAGGTTACAAGCTGCAGGAATTAACAAAACTTACATTACGTGTGGCTTCTTATAGTCAATAATTCCCCCTTCCCTTGCTGATTTCCACACTCCCATTGATTTACCCCTTCCTGCTGCCATTAGTATGGAGTGCTATCCATTTTTCCTATCCCATAGCCACTAGCTATCAAAGCGGTAGGGTAGGGGAAGAGTTTGAATGATCTAACTAGAGATATGTTAGAACTCACAGGTCACAAGTTGCACATGGGCCCCTGGGACCCATGATTGAAATTTGGGAACAAAACACAAATTTGGCAACTTATTCTTTCTTATATCTATTGAAGTAAAATAAGCCTATCCAGTTTTCTCTAGACTTGACAGACCTATTTTGCTAAGCAAGTATTTTGCTTCCTTTCCACCCCATAGTTTTGTAAATACTACATTTGCAATCTTTTAAATAAATGTGTGTGTGTGTGTGTATTTAAAATGTTGCTTGGTCCGACCTTAACTGAAGCAGGCACCAATGCATGAGGCAACAGAATGGACCCAAAATGTTAAAATTGATATTTTAAAGGCTTAAAGGTGCAATTCAAGGTATTGGTGATCACCTTTAAAGCCCTTCATGGCATGGGTCCAGGTTACCTGAGAGACCGTCTCACCCTACTGGGATTGGCCCATTCCACTCATACCAGCAGAGGAGGCATGTTGCGAGTACTGTCAGCCCGATTATTCCAGCTGGCAAGATCCAGGAGGAGGGCCTTCTCTGCTGCTGCTCCTGACCTCTGAAACATCTTGCCTCTCTCCAATGTGAGGTTGGCCCCAACAATCCTGTCTTTTTGTAAGGGGCCTAAAGACGGGGAGGAACAGCACAATGGAGGTGGTTGATTGAGTAATAACAGATCCCACCTCTCCTCCACTCTGCCCCTCCGTCCTCCCCACGTGTCCTTGGTTTTAATGCCTGATTTTAACTTTTTATATTTTAGCCTCCCAGAATTACCCTATGGTAAGATGGGTGGCCAATAAATTTTATAAATAAATAATAAAATAGTAAAGTTTTATAAATAAAATTATCCACAAGTTGGCAGTAAGGTGAAATTATGATGTGATTTATAGCTCTTTCAAGGGAAAGTGCTACAGTGAAAGTAAGCATCTAAAACAGCCTGTTCCAGTTCCAGGAAAAATGTGTCCAAATATGTCCAGAGCCAGTTCATATACCGTAATCAGTTTCCTTCTAAGGGAGACAGAATTATTCTTTTTACAAATATGACTGTGACTGGTAGGTTCTTGTGCATTTGATTTCACGCTGGATTTACTGATGGGATTACCAGAGATGCTGCATGTTGTCTTATATGAGGTCAATGCTGCCAGCGCTACCTCTAAAGGAAAAACATTTGTACAGGGAAGGCGTGTAATCTCTCTGGCAGCCATAGCACAAATAATTCCACAGTGAAGAAGAGCCAGCGGCCGGATGGGTGCTAGTGGTTCTGTAGTAGGCCAACTATTGCTCAACAGATCACTGATCTCTGAAGGTTCCTTCTCCATAAACCATGGATTATGTGGATGAGTGATCTGATGCCAGCTTAAGAAGGAAAACTTTATATGGATGGCACGCTTATTTAATTTAGGATAAAAAAGTTGATCAGGTTTTTAAAACCCATATTTTGAGAAGTGCCTTGTTGCGTGTCTGGAAGAAATATTATTATAGGTTAAATTATAAAATTCCAATTTGGGGGATTCCTGGACACGTGATAGAGGGAGTATCCAGGGGAGTGAATTTGGATAAGATTTCTTATAAGGAATTACTTAGTTTGGTTGGGCAAGATTGGCAATTAAAGTCATTGATTGAGTTGAAGCAAGAAAATATTGTATACTCTTGGTTTCACTAATCAATTGTTAGTGAGGTGGAGTTTAGATCAAAAGGTTGGTATCACCTTAGAGGATGTGAATTTGGTAAAACAGATTAAAGATCAAGGTCGAACTCATATAAAAAAGAATTTATAATGTTTTAATAGAACTGGATTCTGAAACATAATTAGTTAAAGATTGTATGATCAAATGGGCGCAAAATATTCAAGAGCCGATTTTATTGGATACAAGGGAGACAATTTGGGTTAGAAATGTAAAATTTACTCAGGCGCAAAATTTAAGAGAAAATTTTTATAAAATGTTTTATAGATGGCATTTAGATCCCCAAAAGTTGTCTCGCATGTATCCGAATTTACAGCCCAAATGTTGGAGATGTGGAAATTTAGATGCAACTTATTTTTATATTTGGTGGACTTGTAGAGATATTAAAGCTTTTTGGATTAAGATCTGGTGGAATATTCAAAAGATTTTTAAGAGAAATATAAAGTTTACTCCACAATTGTTTTTATTGGGTATTATTGTAGATTTTGATGTTAAAGAAATTAATTTGATGTTGAACAGCTGCAAGATTATTGGTGGAGCAATATTGGAAGAAAAACTTATTGCCTACTTTGGAAGAACGGATACTTAAAGTGTCTAATTTAGCAGACATGGCGAAAATCTCTGCCTATTTGAAGGATCATTCACAAGAAAAATATATTATGGTTTGGAGAAGAAGGATTGATTACATTCAGAAGAAATATGAGATTGAAAAGTATTATCTTGCTTTTGAGTAGATTCTAGATAATTATTATTAGTTTTAATTATTTTATTATTTTTGACTTAATTTGTTAATATTTGTTGGGAGAAGGAGTTAAAGTGTGTTATGGTTTTGATTGATAGTATAGTTGATTAATGTTAGTTAGATTATGTTTGCTTATTTTATTTTTTATCCTGTAATCAGTTCTGGGAAGTGGGGGAGGGGGGAAGGGGTGGGGGGCTTTATATTGTAATAAATTTATAAAACTTTTAAATTAAAAAAAAAGAAGGAAAACACTATGTTCGTGCCTGGTCATTTTACCAACTTTAATCTGTCTCTACAGCAAGTTGCCATGAAGCGAAGATCCATTGTGAGGACATGTCCTCGGCAAGCATTTCATGCTGTGGCAAGCAGGACTTGTGGATGAGCCTTAAAAATTTCTGCATGCATCAAATTCTTCCTCCTTGACTCTCCTTAATACAGCCTGAAATGGGTGGCAGTCCCAATTCCTCTCTCCATCTTTGCTATGCCCAACTGCTGCTGCATTCAGTTGCATCACTTACCCACAAAGCACTGCTGCTTGCTGTCCCAAAGAGGAGCGGCTCGCACCCCATTAGCCACCAGGGCCAAGAACGCCTTTTTAATCTGAGACAAGAGACAGAAATTCAAATTGACTGGGGCTGTATTCTGTGCCCCACGCCATACTCTGTCTTCCTAGGGCAGGGATGTCAAACTCGCCACTTTACATGATGTGTCGTGACGTAGCGCAACTTTTTCCCCATTGCCGGAGCTGGGGTGGGTGCGGTTTTGGCATGACGCATCCAGCCCACGGGCCAGCAGTTTGACACCCCTGCCCATGGAAATAACTGATTGAACCTTGCACAATGGACAAGGAAAGGTCTACTCCAGGGATTATTCTGCATTTCTCTGCTTTGATAGAATAAAAGACGATGTAGTTAGGGAAAGAGGGATCATTTCACTAAAACTGGTGAAGTGGTCACCTCTAACACAACATTCTGGTCAATTCAGGGAATTTTCATGCAGAACAACCAGGAACAGCTATATTCTTGTGAACCAGCTGTGCCCTTATTTTACAGCTTTTGCTCACATTAAATTAATCATGTTGACAGGCAAGATGAATACTGTAAATATGCTCAAGTTGATTCTTTGTAGAATAATTTCCAGTGAGCCTGAGATTGTACCAAAGATGGAGGCCATATTTTGTCTCTTTATAACAATGTTCTCACGTGCAAGCTTTCCCTTCCCAATGTGAATGAGGGACAAGTTTTGCAGCAGCATTAAAAAAAGATGTAACCAAGATAACAGCAAGCCCATAACTTCCTCATCCTAGCCACTTAAACACTACTGTAATTTATCATCGTGGATGTCCTTGTAACTATTCAGAAGCTATAGATGGTTCAAAATGCAGTTACTTGTTTGATAATAGGTTATGCTTGCAATAGTGGAACACCACTATTGCAAGAGCTGCATTGGTTGTTGGGAAGCTTCTGGGTTCAATTCAAGGTGCTGCTTAAAACATACAAAGCCCTCCAAATATCTAAGAGCGCACTTGCTTTTGAGTAGAATATAGCCTTTTGGAAAATGCTGGAGGGTAGAGCAGATCAAGCTTCCATTTCAAGGGTGTCAACAAGAGAAATCCATAAACATCCCTTCTTTCTTATAGTTCCCCTCCTAGGAACAACCTATGTGCAGAGACAAAGATGACTCCATCCTTGCTGATATTTCAGAAGGTGGTCAAGACCTAGCTCTTCCATAAGGCCTTTGGGAATAGAATGGAAGTATGACTATACAGCAGCTGTTCCCAAAGTTGAAATGAGGATGAGCCTTTACACTATATGTCATATTTTTAAACCTAATTTATATTAGAACATTGTTAGCTACTTAAAGTCTTTGGACTGAAGTAGCGTATAAACTCAAGTAAGTAAATAGGATACCAAGATACCAAGCTCCCAGTAGACTCAGACATAAATATAATCACATAGCAATACTCCCTCACTCCCTCCTTTACTACATGGTTACTACATGGTTCACAAAACGCCTGTATTCTCCTTACCTGCAGAGTGATCTCAAACACTACCAGTTTGGAGCTGGTGGGAATAGCATCATAACAGCGATGACTCCGCATGAATTGCATATAAATCTCAGCATCTGGACCCAGGAACTCAATATCAGGACCAAATCCAAGAATTTCACAGTCAAGGGAAATGACATCATCATCTTCCTGTTTGCCCTGTTCGAGCTTTGTGTCCTCTGATGTTACTCCTGTGCTGGGACCCAAGACTATGCCTTTGTTAAACTGACTTGTAACTTCTGAAATCTGTGTGACTGCTATGGTACTCCAATCCTTATCCCTACCCTGGGGCATCATGCCATTGCCTGCTCCATCATTGCTGTGAGCCCTGCCCACCTCTTTTGTCTCTGAATGGGTTGGCTTGAAATCCAGTTCAACAGCAATGGCATCTGCAGCTGTCACTTTGCCAATGTGTGTTGCAGTCTCAGCATCAGTTGGCTCAGGATCCCGCCTCTCAGTTCTGCCATCTGCTATTACATTTGTCAAAATCAAATTCACTTCTTTGTCGCTGGCAGTCAAATCCTTGGCTTCCTGTACAACAACATTGGCTTTCAAAGCAGATTCCTCAATGTCCAGAGATGAGGCGGGGCCTAGTGGGCAAGCATTGTAAATCTAAACATTGAAAGATCTTTGACAAATGAAAATAAGTCACACTGTCCTTTTGAACCAAGGCAAACGTCCCTCCACCTCAGTGTTTCCCAAACTTGACAATTTTAAGGCATGTGGACTTCAACTCCCAGAATTCCACAGCCAGCATTGCTGGCTGTGGAATTCTGGGAGTTGAAGTCCTCATGCCTTAAAATTGTCAAGTTTGGGAAACACTGCTCCACCTCATTAAGTCTATAGTTATGATGTTGACTCATATAAAGCTGCAAGCATGCATATGCTGGGCTGAAATTAATTCTGCAAAGAAGCAAGCCTAAACTTGCAGCAATTATAATTATACTGACCATCACTCATTTATATATTCCACCTGACCATACTCACATTAGAGAATAAATACTCATTTCATTTATTATTATGGTTTGTTGCACAGTCAGTCAGATGTTCAGAATGGATGTGGCATTTTTATCTGCCTACCAACTCCTTCCCAAAGACCTGGGATAGGCAGATATGGATGTCTGATAGTGTTGCAGATATTGTTGCAGCATATAAGATGTTTTGAGTAAAGCTGACTTTTGCAATTGACTGATGATTGTCAATGCCGATGGTGTTCAAATGGTGCTCCAATTATTTTGGGATTGCACCCAAGGTGCCTATTACTGTTGCTTTGCTTTATTTTATCATTCTATTTCTACTTGCAGGTCTTTGTATTTTGTTTCTTCTCCAATTCCTTGTCCTCTGTTCTGCTGTCTCCAAGTAATGCCATTATTATTATTACAAATAACAGAAAACCATAGATGAACTGACATCAATTTAAGGTTGTCTGTAGGCATTCTCATATAATAGGACAGGTATGGAATATATTAAATATTTTTTACCAAGGGAAGAAAGTTTATCCAATTGCTTCTAAAAATTGGCAGTGAGATCGCTGTATACTGATAAATACATGTCTATGACACTTGAACAATTTTATTAAGTAGTCCTTGGCTTATAACCATTTGTTCAATGATTATTTGAAGTTATGGTGGCATTGAACAATGATACTTATGATGAGTCTTCATTGTTCTCGCCATCACAGCATCCCCACAGATACATGATTGTAATCCAAGTGTTCAGCGCCCAGATCATGATTATAATATTGCAACAAGTTGCGGTTATGTGATCACAATTTCCAGTGTTCCCTCCTAGCTTCCCACAAGCAAAGTCAATGCAGAAGCAGCAGAAAATTGAAAGTCACATGAGGTCCTCACTTAACAACCTATACAGTCCTCATTTTATGATGGCAACAGGGATTGCTGGAATTGTTATCACTAAGCAATGTAGTCACATGATGTTAGACTTTATGACATCACTTAGTGGCAGCAATTTCAATCCCAATTACTATCGTAAATGGAGGACTAGATGTATAATCTCCATTGAATACCCATTGAGATAGGGCACCATTATTCCTCTTTGACAGAAGGAAAACAAAGGCTAGAAAATATTTGGATTTGGCAATGTTACACAAGAAACCTAAACTTTTAATAAACCAAGAACCTAAACCTGAACTTGAATTTTGAATCCAGTTAAGCTAAAAATATCAGTTGATTTGTTTGGAATGGAATGTGATAAGTAGCAACAAACCCAAATTTTCTATATGAAAACTACAAGATTATTTCAGATAGGAGAAAATTAGCATCAGGATATTGTGGAAAACAAGAGAGCACTATTAAGCTAAAAAGAAAACATCCTTGCTACATGGAGTTGTCACATAGTGCTAAACAGTGGGTACTCTAAATAATATGATTAGCAGTTTTAGAAGACCCCCCCAAAGCAGGCAGTTAATATCCAGGTAATATTCCCTGGCACAAAGACCTTCAATTAGCATTAGCTGAATTGAAAGTGGACAAATACAGAACACCACTCACCTGTTTCTTCCTGATGCTGGAGGCCATTGTTCAATGATGGTATCTGAGGGGCCAAGGAGAAAAGGACAGAATTAAACAGGGTTTTGTTACATCTGTGCTCAGTGCAACTTTTAGGATCTGAATGCTACAGAGCTGAACCATATACTGTAAATCTTCATGGCGAGAGGAAATCCTGTTTTTTCACCCAGGTCTATGAAACCAATCCAAGTTAAATAGTAATAGGATTTTTTAAAAATCAAAACAAAAGTGACAGCCCTCCTTTATTTTGCAAATAAGCCTTTCGGGTATTTCCTTGCATGGGTCTATTTCCTCCATCACACCACTTCTTGGAAATATTGAACACAGAGGAGAAGGCAGAAGCTTATATTTATTTATTTATTTATGAGACTTATATATCCTTGAGCCAGCAGAAAACAGTACCTGCATGAAATTTATTCTCCCCCTTACTAATACCTATTTTTGCCATTATTCCTTGGACTTCCCTCCAAGGAACTGAGTGATAGTACCTAACAGATTTTACTCCTTGATGCCATTCTTGTATAGAATTAGAAGGAAACTTCTCCTTTATTTGGTTTATATTGTACAGGAGTGCAAGGTGGTGTACCCTCTTTTTCCTTACAACAATACTGGGAGGTTGGAACAAGTGTGGAAATGCCCCATTGCTAGGCACATTGATTGGTTGGTTGGGTGTATATAGCTTCCCATCTTCAACTGCCACAACAATAAAACTACCCACTAATGCTCTGCTCTGCCTCTCCCATCCCAGGCTTTACTGCTTAGTAGATATTACATTCCATTAGAGTCAGTTCCTCACCAGCACCAGAAAAGGAGGTTGGAGGAGTAGAAAGAAAAGTAAGAGGAAGATATATCTAGAATTTTATTAAAAAAAAAAAAAAACAAATCAGACAGGGTTAGAAGGGAAAGAGGAGGAGGCTACATCTCCAGAAATAAATACAGAAAGCAGGAAGGCTGTGGGGTGGGGGTAGAAAGGAAAGGGGAAATTTATGTGCACCTAATGAGAAATTTGACACACAGACCACCAGTCAGTATATTAAACTACAAGGTGTTTCAGTAGCAGCAAAGCCGGCGAGGCCCATTTGAGAAGCAGGGTGGGATTCAGAGAGGAAGTTCACGCGGTGCAGTTGCTCCCTGTTGTACACAAATCTGTTTCAGAGCTGACCCTTGGCGAGAGATTTGGGGGCTTAGCTTGAAACCTGTCAAGTCCTATGGCTATTAACCCTATCTTGGCCTCGCTCTTCGAGCAGCAGAAAGCGGCTGTGGATGGCAATGTTGGCGGCAAGAAGTGCCCCGGGCCGACAGACAGACAGACAAATGCCATTTGAGTGATCGCTGCGAATCCTTTCTCTGGGCGGGACGGGACCGATCCCTGAGCCGGCGACTTGCTTTTTTGTGGGACTGTCAGCTACCGCCCGCCAACGCCTTACCTGCTCCAAGGCCTGGGCCGCTGTCGCTTGCTCCATGTCAGCAGCTTCTATTTGGAGCAGCTGGCCCAGGCGGCTTTAGTATCACGTCCACTGCAGGCGGGGAGGGGGGAAGAGAGGAGTGACAGCGGCAGTGGTGCCAGGAATCGTCTTCAGCTAAAAGCCATCCTGCCCTGAGTTGAACGCATCGCAAAGGCCGAGTCTTTTTTTTTTTTTTTTTTTTAAAACAAAGGTTCTCTGCATTTATAGCTGTTAGGCAGACAGTCTGCAGGAAATATTCCAGGCACCCCCGGCTGCTGCTGAGGAAGTAAGCTTTCGCACCAGCCTGCTTCTATTTTTCTTTTGTACTCATCAGTACGTATTGTATCATCTAATGATTTTATCAAACATTTAGATAAGCTACGTCAGTTGAGTATTTCCTGTTCTGTGCTCCTATTAAATTGTAGGCACTTTGTTCATGCGATCATTTGCCACCCTGTGCAAGAGAATGGGGAGGATTTCAGGAAAAGATCTAATTCTGGTGAACTTGAACTCATTCAAAACTGTGTCTTTCGGAATCAAGTTTGATTTCAAAGCCTTTATCGTGTCATAGTTTGAACACAAGTCTCGGCGTGGCTGTAAGGATAACTGAAAGGCTATTTTATATGGAATACTGTACCAAGCATTGTATAGTGAATATCTGTGAATCTGAACCTTTCTGAAAATGCATCAAGATTTATGTTAAGCAGATTTGCCCATTCTGTTCTGGCTCCAGACAAATTGGATACATGTGTTCTAATTGGAAAATTACCTGGGAAAGTGGAACCTATCTTTATCTACCATCTCATGCAAAATCTTTCTTTGCCCTCCAAAGTCTGTAAATTTAAAGAATGGGGTTCCCCCCCCCCGCATCTCTTTGCAGAATCTGCTCATTTTACTGAACCTTGTAGGAACTGAAGGAGACATCCTGCAGTTTGTTTCTCCTCAAGTTTTCCTCCACCCCCGCCTCCAAAAAAACCCCAAAGGCCAAGTTGTATTGTAGTGCCTTAGGAACTAAACCAGTACAGTTCAGAGGGACACTTCCTTGTATATATGGGACAGGCTCTGGACGAAGGCAAAATAAATACAGGTAATCACATTTTGAAAAGATTTTTCAGAGAGTTGCATCAGCCTACCTGTGGAAGATATAATATAGAGCAGTGGTGGCAAACCTATGGCACAGGTGCCAGAGGTGGCACTCAGAGCCCTCTCTGTGGGCATGCGCGCTGTCACCCCAGTCCTATGCCTTCAGCTGGGTTTTATAAAACCTTTTTGCTTTAGGCCTCCATCGCCATGTGCAAAAAAAAAAAGGTTCAATGAGTCAATTTCAACTTCTCACAGGAAAAAAAAGTCTTGCAAAGTTGGAATTGATTGATTGAACTTTTTTGTCCCACCCAGTCTGCCGTTACCACCGCAGCCATGCCCATCCAATGGGCCACACCCAGCCAATGGGCCACACCCACCCGGCACCCGACAATGCATAAGTGGGTTTGGGGTTGCAATTTGGGCGTCTCTAAAAGGTTCGCCATCACTAATATAGAGACTCTGAGGGGCAAATAGAGGAGTATCCATTTTATTTTGCCTTCATCCCAAAAGCCTGTTTATGTCATAAAATGACAAACCATTAGGAGCAGGCACTTGCATTAAGTTTCTCACCATTTTCTTTCACAATGAATATTCAATTTCTATTATTTTTTTACACTCTTACATACTCAATTTAAAAGAACAAAACAAATGCTAGTTAACTGGATCAAAATAGATATTTTCATTAGAACTAGCCATGCTAACCAGACTGAAGCTAGTTCACAATTGTCTTCAATGAACTGCAATTTGTTTTTTTACAAATCGTTTGTGACATTTAATAAATGGGGAAATAATTGCAAAATGCAGAACATTCTTTGGAGAAGAGGTCAATCCAGAAACCAAATGGTTTTATGCCTTGTAATGTCAGATTTTCACATATTGAAACCATTCCAGAAAAATAAAGCCTAGTTATGGACGTTTCTGTGTGCTACAATAAACGATTCAGATTTTGGATGACGAGGAATATGAAGCATTATAATGTGGCCTTATAGTAAATCAGATCATTGTGCCATATACCCTACATTTTCTTACGTATTTTTTTGAACCTATCATTATTCCCACATTGCATGGTCAACAACTTTGTAATCTGGCAGTTCTGGGAACTCTACTCCCAACGACTAAAGAACAAAGGCTGAATTAGAAAAGGGAACTTCTGGATATTGCTGAAGATTCCTAGTATCTTTCAACACTGACTATGATTTCCAGAGCTTCTAAAAGCTGCAGTTGAACAATTATGTCCACTGTTGATTGGGAACTTCTCAAAATATCAGCACCTCAGAACTACTGGAACTTTAGAGTTGAATTTGGGATGTTGGGGATGCAAACTGTGCTTTCTAACACTGGGCTGAAGGGACAAATTTATCTAGAAATGCACTGCTTGTTTCCAGGATCTCAGCCATGACAACTATGTAAGAGTTGTAATCACGTAATTCAAACAGCCCAAACTCTTAGAGATAATAGCAATAGAGAATATTATCTGAGCTGTTAAAACCAAAAAACAAGATAGTTGTACAGGCCAGACAGAATGGGGGATGAATGCTTGTTTGTTAGTAATTACTTAGGTTACGAGGAAGGGTGGTAGTGGTTGGAAGACCTTAAGATAGCTCAGAGAGTTGTCAATCTGGGGAACTCCTTAGGTCACCCAAAGAGGCTTCTCCCCTTTCACACTTCTACCAAGTTAGCTCTTTTAGGATATCTGATACAATCAGATAAGTCAGACTAGTTCACAAGTGATCATTGCTGTGGAATTTGAGAGGGTCACTTATATACCAACATCATATAATTCCCAGGAAAGGAGGCCTGATACCAACTTGAAGGGGAAGGGGGGGGGGAATTCATTGTAGGGCAATGACCCATTGGCTATTCCGAACAGAAGACATTTGAACCTTTCTTGTTTATGCATCTGGCAGAGAGAAGAGAGAAGCTGTGGCCAATACATTTCCCTCATCAACGTGGTTATTCAACAAAACAGATTTTAATTAAAAAAAAAAACCAGCATATCTAGTCTCAGCAGCTGTCTAGATTGTTTTGATACATATTAAAGGGCAGGTTAAACATCTTCAAGTCTCACGAAGAGTTGTGATTTCTCTTGGCTTTTTGTGGATTTGGTACAAACACCACCTCACCCTTATTTGAAGGATAGCAGTAACTCACAGATAAAACTAGTTATCGGCAACATTTATGGAATACACCTTAAATAGTTGCTATCTCCACCTCTGCCTCCAAGTTGACAAGACAGCAGAACAGAAGAGGGAGAAGCCTTGCAGAGGACCCAAGATGACTACCAGAGATAGAACTGAAGAAGAAATTTTAAATCAAAGGGCTACACAATAAACTCCTCTTGCTGAAGTAATGCCAATCATTCTGTAATAATGAAAAAGAAATCTGAAGGGATTTCAGGAACACAGTGTAAGAGCATTGTTTTAAGGATAGATTTGGTCAAAAATGCTACTCTGTGAAGCGTGCCTTTTCTCTAAATTCTTTATATTCACCAAAACATTTAATTCAATACGTATTTAATTCCTTTCCTGCTCCTAAAGGTTAATCAGGCCATCTGGGATCATAAATGATCCGGTAATAAAAATTAAGATGTCATGGTTCAATAATGCATGGTTCAGAAATATTACTACTATTAGCTGGAACTATATTTTCCTGGGAGGGTATAACAATATCTAGGGGTTATTTCTAAAACAAAGCAGTTTAAAAGGGAGTTTGTTAATCCAATGGAATTAAATCAAGACTACTCATGGACCACAAAGAGTAATCTCACACAGGGATGTTGTACACAAGGATCTTTGTACACTTAAACATCCATTACTGTAGTGTGATTCATGACTACTGCCTCCATCAATGGAGAAATCAACAATCTGAGAGCTACACTGTAGGAAACACTCATCCCTTTTTTGTCAAGATTTTTAATAAGATGTTCAGCATAAGGAAAAAATATGGGCTTGAGGATATCATTATTGCTACCTGGGGGAAAAATGATGGAATTTACTTCATTAAATAAACTGTACACTAGTCAAATTTTTAGCAAGGAAGAAGGAAAGTTGAAAAAAAGTCTTCTCTGTTTTGATTAATCCAAGAATCTCTTGGCACCAAAGGTGCCAAATGTCACCGACAAGATTCAGACATGTCAAAAAAATTTAGCAGCAGCTTAGTGTTCCAGCATACAAGAGAAATCTTAAGTGTCGGGAACTAGAGTGTCATATAGATCAATGAATTAATCTTTCATGCCCAAAGATCAGGTCAGCAAAAAGCTCTTGTAGGCTGAACAGTGCAAATTTCATATCCAGGCATTTGTATGCCATCATAAAATCAACACAGCCCAGGCCTATGTATTCCTCATGGAAATGTACAAAAATACTACTGCCTGATACTATATTTAAAATGGCAGCAAAGAAAGTACAGCTCACGATCAGCCTTAAAGATTTCTCCAAGACCAAGAAAAAGGAAACATTGCAATTGATTGGAAATAGTAGTGATTGAGAATGTAGAATCTCAAAATGGGCACCCATATTTAAGTGAGATAGCACTTAGCAATAACACTTAGACTTACATACCGCTTCACAGTGCTTTACAGCCTTCTCTAAGCGGTTTACAGAGTCAGCATATTGCCCCCAATAGCCTGGATACTTGTATGACGTCTCCTTTGAGGGAGACCATGCTATATATGTTATGTTGTGGAATTAGCCAGAAAAGAAGAGGATTTTCACACTGATTTCCAGTCCTAAGTCCAAACTAGACTTCTAAGAATAAGATCCTGTTATTGAAGAATCCATCATAAGAACACATAATTTAGACATTGAGGGCAAAACCACAAAGTGAATGGAGCTAAGTGGCCTCCTTGTGTTTTTTTCTGGGGGGGGGGGGCAGCATTTGGATGTGTTGTGTGTGTGTTTAAATTAAACTATCCCAAAGTTTGCTTTGATTAAGAAAAATATGAAAATTACTTTCAGACACCAAATCCTGTTACTGTATCAAAATATTAAGAAGTGTGAACATATTTTTTAAAAAAGATAAAAGGCAAAGGTTTCCCTTCCAGTTATGTCCAACTGTAGAAGGTAGTGCTCATTCTGATTCATTCTGCCGAAGAGTCAGCATTGCCTGAAGACACTTTTGTGGTCATGTGGCTGGCATGACTATATACCGAAGGCACACAGAATGCTGTTACCTTCCCACTGAAATGTACCTATTTATCTACTTGCATTTGCATGCTTTTAGACTGCTCAGTGGGCGGGAACTGGAACAATGAATAGAAGCTCACTCTGTCACGTGGAACTTGGTCTCGAACTGCCAACCTTCTGAGACCTAAGTACCACGTGACAAGAGTGAGCTTCTTAACCCAAGCCCAGCATCTTAACTGCTCGGCTACTGAACATAAACTGAGATAC